ACCTTGGCTTATTCATCAACATGATAATCTTCTGTTCAGGAAATGCATTTCCATATTTCAATCCACCAAACTCACTGAAAATTTCTAGGATTTCGGGGTAGGGGTTCACATTTCTGATTAAAAGCCCTACTGTCCATGCAGGGCACGTAGAAGTTTTTCCAAGCTGTCGATAAAATGTTTTGTGGCAATGACTGAAGCATTAATAATGTAAGGAGTAGTAGCATGAATGAGGAATTTTATCTTAGCATGTCAGAGAGTGTTCATCATCTGTTCCTCAGTATAGAGGGACTCTGTGCCAGCAGGGAAAAATCTCTGCAGTGCCAAACCAGGACTTCAATGGACTCTATGACAGGCTGCAACAGTGTTCTTTCTTCAGACCATATTAATGGTTATGACACATAAGTTGTAAAACTCTTCTATCTGTCCATGCTGTTATCCAAAGTTATTAGGCCTTATTGTTCAGTGTATGGCTTCTTTGTCCCTCAATATGTCAAGTTTCTTTTTTAGCCTGTGGTTGTCTGATGCCATTATACATGTACCAACTGTATTCCTTGTTAGCATTTTGATTAAGGTTCTTCTAGATAGATTTTTATATCTCACTATAGAAGCAGGAAATCAAATGAAGTACACAATGAGCAGTTGAAATGCTGGAGGGGAGGTCTGCTGTTCAGGAGAGGGGGCAGGGAGAGAGAGAGAAACAGATCAGACCAAATAGGTGAGCAAATATAGCACCTTCTGTGGTAAACCTGCATTTTTATTTGCCTTTACATCATACTTGCAGCTCACAGTCTATCCTCTGATTACTGTCTACTGTCCTTTTTACTATCTGTCAACTGACAGGCTCTGACATAGAGGAGGAGGCTTCCCTGTAAATCATCAGGTCCGTATTCTTATCATGCACTTACGCATCTCATCTTATTTCCAATTTTTCACATTCCATAGTACCTTTTTTTTCCATGCTGTCTTTAAGGTGTAGCGAGTGTTGACTGAAAGGAACCGTCATCTGCAGTGAAGTCCAAGTTGTGCATTGAGGAACTGTTCTGCACAGAATATGTGCAACTAAGAGAGCTGTGTCTTTCCAAGAGTTGAGGACAAGACCTTAGCAGTAATGCTATTAAAATTGCTGTGGTGAAAATCAGTTATTTCCATTTCATGAGTCCAAATACGTGAATATATTCAGAAGTCCCAGACTGAATAGCAGCTGATTTTGTGTACTTGTTCTTGTTCTTCCGAAAGTATATTCAAAAGGTGAATTGAAACTTTCCCCGATTAAAATAAAAAAACCCAAAGTACTGGAAAATACCTTATTACTTTATTATGATGATGATGATGATGAATATTTTTATAGTGACGTGTTAATTCTAGAATTAACAATAATTAATGGTTAATTATCTGTAGCACCTTTGACTTCTCCAATTTGTTGTGATTCAGCATCTGGTTTATAATGAGTACTGATGCCAGCCTCCTCACTTCTAGAAACACAGTCTGAAAATGCAAGCTAGAATATGATAAATAACTGAGTGAAAGACGAAGGGCAGGATGTGTCCTTGGTGGCAGTTAGATGTTGTTTGAAGAGCTGACTTGAGAAGCCCTGGCGATCACTACTCTTTTGTGAGAGCGAACAGGCCCAGCAGCCCCTGTCTGTGGCCATGGTGTGCTTGGCCTTATGGTCAGGAGGGTGTAGTGGATTAGTCCAGACTAAGTTGTTTCCTTGGCACATGTCTGCAGCTTCAGATCTAAGACTGACCCATTCTCTTTTTTGAGGAGATTTTGGCTGTCATCGTCCTGTTTGGTTCCTGGGATTTGGTTCCTGGGATTTGGTTCCTGGGATTTGGTTCCTGGGATTTGGTTCCTTGAAGTACCTTAACCTGGAAGAAAGTCTTTCACTGGTCACTTAACGGGAATGCTATGATGGACATCAGAGTTCAACTGCTCTTCACTTCTACTGGGCTGGGTAGCTGGTGACATTATCCTCATTTAAAAAGGTTGTTAAGTCAGATCTTGAGTTTTCTTCCATCATCTCCTGTATTCCTCCCGCACTGCAGCTGTGCAGGAAGCTGTATCTAGCAAACTGAACTGTGTTTTGGGGGGGTGATGGAGGAGAGGAGTCACAGCAGAGCAAAAGAAACACATTCCTGAGAGTCCTCATTACAGAGCATGAAGAGTATGGGAGACTGCTCATTTATAAAAGTTGTCCTCCACCCTGAAGCAGCTGTTCTGGTTTTGTGCATTGCCATGCTGTGTTGGAATATCTTGGGAAGCCACAGATGTTTGACTTTGACTCATACACTGGGGCCAATTTGATCCTGATTCCCAATGCTGGAGCCTCCTGGCTGAGATCATTGTGACGCAAACCTTGCTCCCAGTTCCCGCTTCACTAAGGAGCAACAGTTTTGTTACATGTCAGGTTTGGCACTGGGTCGTCAGATGTTTCACCACCACTTCCTGTGTTTATAGCTGGAAGTTGTGTCTTGGCTGTGGACATGACATTTACTCAGAATTATGACAGTTTTCTGTGAACTTTACTCCTGACACAGATGTTTCAGAGAGAAATGCACCTTTGTATTCTGTGGCTTCAGAAAGTATTAAGGAAAACAAGGATAGAATTAACATAGCAGAGTTCAGATCAGTTGTTTTCAATGTGTTGCTAACCCAGTATGAAAACAATTTTTGTGACTAGGTGGTGCATAATTGGATATATGTGTCTGTATTCTGATAGGCTGAGGGCATCCTTTGTTCTTGTGCTTGTAATCCAATGCTGAACTAATACTGTGAATGTATTTGTATGATAAGAACTTCTACTAGTTTTTATGTGATGGAAACAGTGAATGTAGCCATTTCTGTGCAAAGAAACATGGATTTGGTTGGAACCCAACAGCTGTTTGATTCATATCCAGATGTAAGGCCCAGATGTGCCATCCCTCCATTATATGGCAGTGGTGGGAAATAACCCAGAGGAGCAGCCTGGTGCCTCAGACCTTTGGCATTTCAAAGGTGATCTGCACTGAATCGAGTGGTAGAGGGGCTGTGTGTCTTCCTTCTCTCATGATATGTCTATCTGCTTTTTTTTATACTTCTCTTTTCTTGACCTGCCCCTCATCTTTTCAGTTTTTTGATTTTCTGTTGTTACTTCTTACAGCTGAGCTTATTCTGTCTCAAAATTTTCCTCTTGGAATAGAGCTTTAACTACTGAGCAGATGTGTTGTCTTTATTCTGCCTGTTCTCACTGCCTTTATCTCTCTTCTTCATCTTGAATCTTAGGCTCATTGATTCCTGTGGAGCTGGAACTCTTTGCTAGTTAAAGACACTGAAAAAAACCAATATTCTTATCAGATCTTGCTGCAGTTCTGTAAACAAGCTAGTTAATCATGCTTTTATGTTAATAACAGAAACAAATAAAATTTTGTTGCACTGTGATTATAAACAAACAAATACAAAATTGTGGTCTAAATATTGAGATACTTTTCCTTCCTTTGGTTTATTGGTTTGTTTTTTTTCTCCTTAATGCTTTCTGAAACAAGATTATCTAGAGACTTAGATGGAAATTAATCTTTTATGTAAGAAAATAAAGAAAGTAAAAGAGAAATTGATATTGCCTGAAATCCTTCATGGTCTGAAACTAGAGAAGAGGAAGAAGCCAAAATGTAACTGCAGGAATGTGCTTAGATATAAAACTTAGGATGTAACTGTGGGAATGGATTTGGATACAAAAACTGGAATGTAACTATGTGCAGTGAAATCTGCAAAAAGCTGGGAATGTCATGCTCAGTGTTTGAAATCTGCAGGCAATTGGCAGTGTTTTTTCAGAACTATGCTAGTAAAAAAACTGTTTTTCATGAGTTTGGGGCCTGATCAAGTCTTTCTTTTTTCTTTTACTTTTTTTTTTTTGTGTTCTTGGCTTGTACTCATGTGAACTAAGATGGAATTAGCAAGAAACAGTAAAGCTGTGGTTCTATGTAGTCTCTCCTGAGTGGTGAAGTTGGCTTAAGAAAGTCCTGCTCCAAATTGTACTTCCCTGCCTGTATAACTTTTTCCAGGAAGAGCTGGGTTTTTTTGTATGACTGAAATGTGAACTGTCTGATCCAATTTTCCAAAAAACATTACGGAAAACTTCCTATTACTTATTTTTTCCCCCCAAGATGGTCCACTGCTGGTAAATAGTGTGGCTCCATGAACAGTTATGCTGGAATGACTGAAAGAGTGAGTGCCCCGTGATGAGCCAAGGGCATTTGGTGCCAGAAATTAGTTACATTTGGGCTCTCAAGGCAGTAGCCTGATGAAGCAGCAGCGTCCACAGACTCTGAACAAAATGTCATCCATCCTCAGTCTTCTGTTTTTCAGGTAGCAGTAAGGAAGGAGGTGTCAAAGGAAACACCAGCTCTCAAGCAAAAACAAGTTATGCTTTAGCAGTGCTCCATGAAAGCAGCTTTTACTGGCAGGTAAAATTTGACTGGCCTGGAAGATTCAACCAGTCTAGAGTAGAGGTAAATGATATAAACAAGCATGCCATCCAACCTTCCTGAAAGTCAACTGACACGTGGCAAATGCTGTATTTTTTCCTGATCTCACTGCAAGGTCAGTCATGACATAGTTGCAGGTTTGCAGGTTTGAGCCAGGAGAGTCTCCCATAGAGTTACTTAAGAAATTTCACTCAGAATTTCAGTTTCTTTCCTATGTCATTACCTTCAAACTTACTACTGGCTATACAAGAATAGAGGAAATCTATTTCCATGTGACAAACATTAGGATTAATAAAATTTGATGTCAAATCTTTATCAATAAACTATGTCTTATCAGTGATGTCGTTTTTTTCTTCTTTTTACTGTCAAATTTTCTGCAATTCTTGTGGTTCTCTAAAATCTCTGCTGTTTTGTAGTTGAAATTTAAGTGAAACTATGATGCCAATAAATGAGTTAAATGAACGTGTCCTTGCCCCTTCCCCGCAGTCCCAGAGTATTTCTGTGTAAAGTTTTAAAGGAAAACATTTTTTACTCTTGCAGGGCAGCTTTAGAAGAAGTAGAAGGAGATGTGACAGAACTGGAACTGAAACTTGACAAGGTAAGCTTTTTAATTCAACAGTGTTTGTTCTTAAAAATGTTAGAAGATGTGTTTAGGTTTTGTTTTAAAGTTCACAGCTGGGAAGTGGCAGGGGCCGACCAAGCACTCAGCTCTTGCAGAGGAAAGGGATCGGGGTCGAGGGCACAGCTGGGGAACCCGGGCTGGGGTAACAGCGGGAACAGTCGGTGTGGACTCGCTCTGTCCCAGCTGAGGGTGTGCATCTGCAGTGCCCGACCCGGCCCCCTCACACCCCTGTGGCTCAGCCCCCCTGGGAGCTCCGTGCAAACTCATTCAGCTTTCACAGGCAAACTTTCTCAGGTTTCACCTGAGATAAAAGCCAGGGCTTGGCAATCGCTGCATCCAGAGCCTGTTTTATGACAACCGCACATTGTGGGGACATCTGGATACTCTTTGTTTTAAGTCCATGCCTTCTCTCTTTGGTAATCTGAAGCACAGTCACAGCAGGCTAGGTTTATATATATATTTTTTTTTATATGTATATATATATATATATATATATTCTTCACTTAAGTACCGTAAAATTTATCCTGCTTTTTGTCATGCTTTGTGCACGTGTATGAAAAATTATGCGTAGCATCTTTTCAGCACCTTACAGTCCGTTTGTTGCTTTCCTCACCTTTGGAGGCTTTTGTTCTTTCTGTGCCAGTATTTTGAAAGTGGCTTATTTTTAAGTTTCATCTGTATAAAATCTTCTTTCCTTTGCGTTTTATGCTAAACGTTTAAAGTTATTTTCGTCTGTATTTTCACATGGCAGGCAGATGTCATTTGCTCACCTCCTTAGCTGCCTTTTGAATACATACTTTTATTCCTGCAGCTGTGAGTTGGCTGCAGAAAGCTAGAGAGAAAGTTGGTGTTCTTGTTTACTTCTTGTAGTAATATTTCTAGTTTTTGTAGTTAATAATCTAACCATTTGCTCTTTCAGAATAAATTCGAGAAACTTAATTTTAGTTTGGTGTGAATCTTGGTGAAACTGATGGGTATAAGAGACATTTTTACTGTAGGGATGATGAATCTGTTTTGGTAGGTCAAACTGGAAGTATTTAAGGGATCTGAAAAATCTTGGAAGCTTGACTTTTCCAGGAGTCTGAAGGATCTGAAAAATCTATTTTGGAAGTTTAACCTTTCCATCAGTCTAAAAGGGTCATTTCTGGGGACAAGAATTTTTAAATTCCTTAAGAAGCATTATTCAGGGCCTTATAGTACAACACTGAAGTTGAAAGCCAAGCTTCTTTTGTGAGCTGAATTAACTATGGCCTGAGGTTAATGATTTGTCTAGGCAAGGCTGGTAACTTTTTCTGCTCAGTTATTCACACTAAACTGGATTTTATTGTCCCAGACTTGTGACTTTGGGCTACATTGTCTGCAGTTTTCTTCTCTCTGGAAGAAAGGACACTGAGTTCAGGCTTGTGAACAGAAGTGAAGGAAAAAGGTTCATGTTGGTAGTGATTTTTCTCTCTATTGTTCAAGCCATTCATCAGAATGTGGGAGATCATGCTCAGCTTTCTACTTTTCCTAGGAGGATCTGAGTCAAAAATTACTGGGTAAATAAGGCAGGAGGGACACTTGGGTGATTTCTTTGCCCCAGCATAGGATCAAGTACTTCTGTGTTGCTTTTCATGAAAATTTGTCTGACATCCTTGAAAAATCTTTCAGAGGTGAAGGTTCAATCTTCTGATTTTATTCTCAGTTTGGTTTAGAATGGGGGAATCAATTATAACATGCCCTTTCTCGAGAGAGCTCCTTGGCAATCCAACTAACCATTCTTTCTTTCATTAATGGCCCAGTGCATGAATGGTTCAAAAAGTGGGCAAACATCCATCACAAGGTACTGAGGACCTTCCTGTCAGACTGTGCAGTACCATGAGGGCTGCGGTGCTGCCCGAAGCAGTGAGTGGTGGGGATGGAAACCCATCAGAGGCTTGTCTGTTGTATGAGTGAAAACATGAATTCACCTTCTGAGGTGTAGCCATTTCTCTTCAGCTGTGCTTTGTGCACAGAGCCCTTTGCTTTCCTGTGCCTGTGTTCCGAGTGGCTCAAGATGAAACAAGGGGTGTGGGTTTCTTTTTTGTTTGTTTGTTTGTTTTTTCCTTGGAAACCACAAACCCCTTGTATCTGCTTGGGTTCTAAACAGTAATTTTTCAGTTGCTATGGTTTTTGCCCCCATACAGCTCTCTCTTGAAATATGTGCAAAATCTTAGTTAACAATAAAACAAATAAAAAATAAATGAAAGAATTTATAAAGAGTGGTAACCTTCCTGATGGCATATCAGTTGACCTAGAGTAGTATTTTTATAGCTGTCACTATACAGTAGAAAGCTTTTCTTAAAATCCAGGTCTCTGTACACTTAGCAGTAAACTTTTCAAGTCTGTATTTCAAAGCCTTAATTAAGCTCAGTGTGTTCATGTTTATAAGATGGTGTAAAAAACAAACAAACAAAAAAGCCTTCTGCTTTCTCTTTTTTTCCCTCAATTTAGCTGGTGAAGCTTTGTATTGCAATGATTGATACTGGGAAAGCATTTTGTACAGCCAATAAGCAGTTCATGAATGGAATTCGAGACCTTGCACAATATTCCTTTAAAGATGCATTGGTTGAGGTAAGTTCCTTAAGAATTGAAAATGAAGGGAGAGAAACAAACTTAAAAGGGTAAAATATAACAGTTGGCAACAGAAGTAGTTGAAGTTTATGCCTTTTTTCTCCTTTTTCTTTGAGATATCTTTAAGAGTGAGTTTTTTTGCCTGTGGTGCACTGCAAGTGTCTGTGTTTAGTTTCACCTCTAACCTGCAGTGGAAGGGGTTTTCCAAATTCCAGAAAATAGGTATTAGATTAGTGTGTGTACTAGTGATTACAACACATTAACCAGTTTTTTGAGTAAGAGTTCTAAATGTGAAAAATATTTAGTGCAGTATTAAATATTGTAAATTAATGTGTTGGACTGTGTGAACTTCCCATAGTATTTAGTCAACTTAATTTTAATTTTTCCTGCTTTGCTTCAGTTGGGTATTTTATGTACGGGTAGCAGTAACATTTTTGTTGCTTGTAGCTGTGATAAATTTACTTGATATTACTCCCATGGTCTCCTAGCATAATGGTTTTAGTGTAATAATCATGCTATAAGGCAAATGGATTTCCATGTCATTTACTGAAAAGCTGTAAACCTCTGAAATGTTGCTTTTGTGCTGTGTGTTTTGTAGGGCTTAATTTAAACCACTTTGATTTTCTCTTTACAGAACAGTTTGACAAAGTTCTCTGACACATTACAGGAAATGATCAATTATCACAATGTGAGTATTTCTAGCTGAAAAGGTTTTCTTGTTGATAGTGTTTGCAAAGTCATGGTTTAAGTGGTATTAAATATCTCTCATTTCATACTTGTAAATATTTTATTAATGTTTTGTCTACCAAGTATTTATAAATATCTCTTTCTCTGCAGATTTTTATCTTGGTTTATTTTTCATTTGCAATTTGTAAGCATTGCTAAAACCCAATGTTTTAAGACAATAAAACCCAATGTTTTAAGACAGTAAATCCTGGATAGTTTCATCTTTTTAAATCAAACTGATGGGTACCAGTTAAAAACTAAGAGCATATTCCTTTACTCGTCTGAAATAATGATTACTTTTTCCATATTTTCTACTTTTTTTCTCCTATCCTTTGTAATGCACAAAATGAAGCCTCTCTTATTTGCATATAGTTTTGTTTTTGGAAGTATGACAGATTTAGACAAGCGTAGAGAAAGTAGGAAATGCTTGGACTCAAGACTAATAGTGATTTTTAGCACGTCAGAGTTCATCAGAAAGTCCAGTTTTGCCTGGATTGAAAACTAGTTTGTTTTACTCTGAAGAGTTGTATCCTGAAAGCCAAAGGCATGTATTCAAAGGCATGTTTTCTTCCTCTTCCTCCACTGCTTTGGTAAAATTTGGCACAGCACAACTCTACCTTTTGGGCAGTTTGAAGGCAGAAAGCAAAGAACAAGGAATATTAAAAGAAGATTCTTTTGCAGATCTGAGTAGGACCAGTCTGAGTTCTGTCCTGCTTCTCTTCTCTCCATGCCCTTGCTGTGCTCAGGCATAGTGAGTAGAACAGTGGCTTTTACCAAAAGGTACAAACATCAGTAGTGAGGCACATTGTGGGGTTCTGATGTAATGCTTTACCAGACATACTGTGATCCTGCGGGGCTTCCTGGCTCAGAGTGTCACTGTTGTTGACCAAGATGAAGAGGTAGGAGATGCTCCCACTGAGATCTGAATGACTGTCAGTTTTTTCATATGAGGTTTTGCTACAAATAAGTTCAGGAACCAGCCTAATGCAGCATCTTCACTGAGTCAGCAGTGGGGGAGTAGCTTTGACAGCTTATGGCAAACAGTAGCTTTCTTAGACTTGGAGTGTACGAAAGGTGGTGTGTTAGAAAGGCTGTAAATCCAGTCAGACTGTGGTCTGGGCACTTCTTTCTGTTCTTTTTGGGGAAAAGATGTTTATGTATTTTTCTGCCTAGCACATTTTTTCTCTTCATTACTGTAAGCAGAATTGCAAGGCTCATATTTCTGGGAGTCCTCTAATCATTTGAGTTCCCATCTGGTTATACTCTTTTGTTATTGATCTTGATTGGTGTACTCCTCAGGCACTGGCAAGCTTAAATGTCAGCAGTGGGAGTATCCCAGCATGACTTCCAGCTTGTCAAGAAGTTCTTTATCTATTCTAGTTGTCTGTTTTTCTGGTTTCCCAAAGTGGGAGTACAAACAAGATCTTCTGCGTGTTACTGGTAGATATAGGACAATTCTGATTGGAGGGGGCCTCAGGAGTTGTATGGTTCAACTTCCAGCTGAAATCAGGGTCATCTGAGGCTGGAGCAGGTTGCTTAGGCTTTTATCCCATTTGGTCTTGAAGACCTCCAAACATAGAGACTGGATGGAAGATACAGTATCACTGTAAATGGGTGACTTAAACTCAGTCATGTTTTCCCTCTTTCAGCGTTTCTAGAAAAAAAAGACAAGCTGGTAAAGGTTTTGCTGTTTGTACTTGGCATTGCATAGCTTCTCATTTCCAAAGTCTGTGAAGAGAAACTAAGACTGAGAACACTTAAAACATTGTTTGACTTGAAACTGAGTTCTTGACTTGCTCTTTCAATAGAATTATTTAATGCTTCAAGATCTTTACCTTTTGTAAGAGATTCCGTTCAACTGGGCCAACTGCTGCTTCCTTATGTTCTTTCACCTCTTTATTTTTGTGATGGTGCCTTGCCTATTTCTGTAATGCAAAATGGGAGGTGTAGAGGGGGTGGAAATTGAGGCATCATTTGCTGTCTGCACATTAAGAAGTGACAAAAGGATTTGTTCAGTAGCCATTGACCTGTTCTGTTCCATCCTAAAACTCAGAGGGCAGATGGGAGGTTGAAGGGATGTGTGTTTTCATTCCCCAGTTAGAATTTCTGGGGTCAGAAGAGAAAATTCAAGTTCTCTCATGTTCGGGTGTGCTTTGGCCTTGAAAAATTAACAATTTCCTTTTAGCAGTTCAATAGTGGGTGTTTTTTTACAAAAGTATTATGTAAAGGAGATGGTACTAATTACTCATGAATGTTACATTTTCACCATTAATTTCAATCTGTGGGGTTCTTTTTTTACCAGAAGTTAAGGGCATGTTCTTTCTATGGTTTCATTTGTCTCTTAATTGTTGATAAATTGTGAAAGTCTAAGAACCAAAAGAGTTGTTACTTAACATTCAAAGTTTTTTTCTTCAAGAATATTACTGTAAAATTAACATAATAAAATTATTCTATGAAAGTAGGTATGTCTCCTATTGTCAGGATGAGAGAATAGGATGCCAAGAGCTCTTATCTCCCCTTATAACCATAGTCTTTAAGAAAAGACCAGCAAAAGGTGTTCAGTTTATTTTCCTTATTTTCTTCTTTATATTTTATTTATTTCAAAAGTACTCTGAAGGGGTGGTGTTATATTTTGGTATTAGAGACTCCAATATTGATTTAATAATAATTCATTTAGTTCTGCATAATTACCATTTGTATATCTAAAATCAGAAAGTATGAATACCTCTAAGTTACTGACCTACATAATAATGCTTTTCTTTCAGATTCTCTTTGACCAAATCCAAAGATCAATTAAAACACAGCTTCAGACTTTTGTTAAAGAGTAAGTTCATTTGCACTTGTAATGGGAAAATTATATGTAAAATAGAATTTAAAAACATTTGCTATGAGTGGGTTGGTGAAACATCCTTCCTGCAAATATCCAGCCATAAATTGAGAAGTGTGTAGTAAAGTTGTCAGATATCACTCCAGATCACTGAGGCTCTAGATCCAGCTGCAGAAATATTGAAATAGTATGAATTACTGATCTTTAGTACTTGTTGTAATTGTCTAAGCTTGGGGGGAAAAGGTACTGGCCAAAGTTTGTCTCCAGTAAGCACGAGATGTGTTTACTTGTCAGTTTTGTCCTTTCCTCGAAAAGACTAAGAAGCTTCTGTTACAATTTGTGAGTTCCCATTTGACCCAAGCATGTATTGAAGAATATGAAAACAGAGAAACCACCTAAGGCAGTCGTGAACATGGTCTGTCTAATGTAGCTTTAAGCACTTTTTCATGCTTTGGAATTAATTTGTTATCCACCTTTCCTTTTGCTTTAGAGATATTAGGAAATTTAAAGATGCAAAGAAACAGTTCGAAAAAGTGAGTGAAGAAAAAGAGAATGCTCTGGTGAAAAATGCCCAAGTTCAAAGAAATAAGCAGCACGAAGTAGAGGAAGCAACCAATATTTTGACTGCAACTCGGAAGTGTTTCCGACACATAGCTCTGGATTATGTTCTTCAGGTAAGTGCAACAATTAAAGCTATTTCTCAAAACCATTTGTTACATATTGTTAGAGATGTGTCCTTTAGAAGTTGTTGTTGCAAGCTTCTTGGAAGCTGTGCAGAGAGTGAAAAAGGGAGAACTTTATCTGCAAGTAACTTAGTTTTTTAATAAAATCTAGGGAACATTAATTTACTTGATGCATTCTTATTGCTTGGTTCTTCAGTATTCAGTGCCCTTACTGTAATGGCACAGTTTAATTTTCAAGTTGAACATTAATTTTGAAAAAATCCCAATATTTGCCTGACATTCACCTAAATGTTTCATGAGTTGATTATGCTGTAATTCCTAATATATATGAAGTAAAACCTTTAACCTAGCCTAGGAAATACGATGTTGACTATTTCAGCTGTTAGCTTTGTTTTTTATTTAACAAACCCTAGTTGTTTAGATGCCTCAGAGTCTGGCATTTTGCCATATGGGAGGGCAAGAACTTAACTATCCTTTTACTTCTTAGTGCAGATCTCCCATAGAGTGTTGAGTGGTATTCTTTGTCATACTGCTTTGAATCCTGTAATACAGTAATAAATTTTCTTTTGATAGTTAAAATTCATCTGTTTCATACTTGCACACAGCTACAGCAAAACAGGATTATTGCAACTCAGATGGTACGAGAGGTTGAGGGCTCCTAAATGGGCCTGAGGTTCTCCTATAACCAAACACAGAACAACCCTTTACAATTAAATTGATTCTATGTTAGACATTATCATCTTGATTTGTGCCAGTCCAGTCAGTTATTTAAAGTTTAATTAACTGTTCTATAGCTTGCATTATAACCTGTAAAGTGAAGTGGAAATGATCAGCCCTGGCACATGCACAGATATGATGGTCTGTGGTCAATCTGAACCTGAACTCCTGTCTTTTGTGCACTGAGAACAAAGATAATTTTGGTGGTTAAAAAGTCATGCAAATTATGTACCAATGGAATATTTGTGCTAAGTAGTGTGATGCACTAAATGGTGGGGGGGGAGCTGGCAGTCATTACTGTAGTAGCCCAGTTTCTTGTGTGTACATGGAACTGCATTGTCTCTTGGAATTTGTATGTTCAAAGTGTGAGCAGTTCCTGGGATAAAGATGCATTTAAAGTTACAGGGAAAAGTTTCATCATCTCTTAATTAATGTGGGCAAAAATGAATTCAGCTTTAGAAATTCTTTCTACTTGGGTGGCTCTTCTGAAAAAGTAGTTTCACAACTATGATCTCCTTGGAGCTAGATTGGCTTTAAATTGTAATTCAAAACCTTTTCTTTTATTTTAATTTTTTTTTGCCTCATAAGTTGAGGGGTTATTCTATACAAACAAATCTTAATTATTTTTGCTGCAGAAGGTTTTCCAAAATACTGACCACTTAAGTAGAGAAGTGCAATCTGGTTTTGATTATATCTTCAGTAAGTTTATTTCTTTTGCTGGAATTTTAAACTGACATAGAGGTGTTAAATTACAAAATCATGCATGTTTCTGCTAAGCCGGGCTTTTCAAGTAAAGTCTGTAGTTCTGGATGTCAGCCTTTAAAGATTAGGGAACAAAGAAGATAGAGGAACTGCATGAATGGGAAAAATCAGTTATTTTTTTTCTATGGAATGTGAAATCTTTAAGTTCCAGGGCAACACCGCTGGTCAGTGACTTCAGATAGCTTAAAAGCACAAATATACATGGAAAGTTACTTACTGAAGCTGTTATGATCATACTTGTTTCTGAGACTGGGACAGTATCCCACTTTTGGGACACTTAAACACTGTCAGTCTGAGGGGAAAAAATAACCATGCCCCCATCCTTTCCTCTCCCCTGGCAGCAGACAGCAGTGGTGCTGAGTGCAGCTTCTTTAGGAAGTTGGTGGGCTGGCTGAGCTCACACTGTCAGAAAGGCTGTTTGAAACAGCTTGAGTTCAATCTCTTGGAAATGGGTACCTATTTTCCTGGCTTGAAAGGTGTATTATATTACTTCTAGCCAGCACGTGGTGTCCTGTATTCTCCCTTCCAGTGTAAGAAAATGGTGACTATCACTGTGAAATTCGAGCTTTGCAAGTGTTCTCTGGTTGCATCATTTTGATATCGTGGCAGAACTAGAATGCATCTTCTTTTAAAAGTGCTTTGTGAAGTCTGATGTTATCTTCTTCCAATGTTTTAAACTTTGATATGATTATTTGGAAGTAATTTGAAGTTTACTTATGTGGGGAAAAATTGCAAAAATAGAATAAAATAAGTTGCTTGTTTGTTCTTTTTTTCTAGATCAATGTTCTTCAATCTAAAAGGAGAGCAGAAATCTTAAAATCGGTAAGATGCACTTTATGTTCTACATAGAAAATATTTACACACATCTAAAATTAAAAATGTGACCATAAAGCAATATGTTAAAAACTTGATCCTGTTACTCGTCAAAGCATTATTGGTACATTTAACAATTTGGTGACAGTCATTTTGACCATTACCATGACTGGGTGTACATGTTTAACTGCTTTTGACAGTCCTTTTGGTTCAGATTTGAACACTTTTTTAGATTTTCACTGCTGGGTTTCACGGTTAAAGTGAAACTTTGCCAAGAGTTCTGCTGTTTAGGTCTGGTACATTACTTCATAAACAATAAGTACTACTTATAATCTATTACTACTATTCTAAGAGGGATTCAGCTCTTTCTAAGAAGAGGATAATTTTTAATATAAATAGTACGGTATCTGCTAAATTAATAAACAGCTATATCTGCATGCCAATTTTCTTCTGATTGTATTCCCTTTTCTGTTTCACATTATCTCTGTAAAAAGTTTATTGAGGTAGGGACTGACAAACTAAATGGTGCTTTTCTATCTAATGTCTAAAGTTGCCCTCCCATAATTTTCTTAATTCCTTTAAACAGGAGATAATAAAATTGTCATGAATTAGAAGTAATTTTCTGCCCATAAGTAGATTTCTTTTATCCCATCAACTGATTTCTGAGATTTTTGGCCTGGTTCTTTGCTGCCTTTACCTTTCACATTTATTTTACAGCACTGGAAGCTCTATGAGGTATTGCTGTAAAATTATCAGGACACAAGAGCAGAAATTAAACCTGGAATTGTATTTTAAGTTGGTTTCATGTGGATTACTTAAGTGATGTGTTTACATGATATCTGATATATTTTTTTAAAATAATAAATATTTACTTTTTCCTTCTAGATGCTATCATTTATGTATGCACATCTGGCTTTTTTCCATCAAGGCTATGATCTGTTTAGTGAACTTGAGCCCTATATGAAAGATCTTGGTGCACAGGTAACAAATTATTTTAAAAATTCATAACTATATGCTGGAATGGATGAAGACCTGATATATGCCTATGTATCAAGTACATCATAGATTTATTCAACAAAAGGGGAACTGTGGAATGATAAAGGCAAAGCATAAAAACATACTGTAAATGGCTTGAATGAAACCAGTTACAAACTGAAAGTTGTCCATTTACTAAAATTAATACTGCCTTTAGGATTTACATACTTAAAAATAGCCAGGAGTGCTCTTTGAAGTACCCTGTGGTATCCAGGACACTGAGGTATTTATTTTTTTTAATTTTTGTATATGACCCATGTTATAAATATATTTAATAATAAAAAGTAGATTAGGTTTTCCTTCCACTCCTGTGCTTTATTTACTGTTTAGATTATGTGGTGTGCATGATTAAACTTTGATGTGTGCAAAAATAACTTCAGTGTTAGCAACTTAGACCATAAAATGGAAGTCTGATTTTAATAAGTGGTGCAAAAATGAGTTCCTACATGGAATCCTTCTTGCCCACTTTTGTTGTTTACATTTAAGAACAGGCAATTGCAGCTTCTGGGTTTTCAGTGAGGGACTCATGAGAAGGTTAGATGGACCACTGCCAACTGCACACAAGAGACACTGAAAATGGTTATAAAAATAGATTACAACATATGAGATTTGAATGTATGCCTGTGGTACAGGAAGAAGACTCAGCAGTGTCTTGACTTGTTTTCAGTGCAAGTTAAATGGGCCTGAAAATACTCTTACAACACTTTTTGTTTGCCTACATCTGAGGACTTGTAACTCCTTTATTGCCACTTCCCAACCAGATACACCACGCCGCCAACCCAAATTCTAAGTGTCTCTCCAGGTACAAAAGCAAGTAAATGACAGCAAACATTTATTTACATTTATCTTGAGTAGATGTGTCCCTGAATGTCTAAGAAATTACATTGTTCTGATCTGGTTATTCCTGCCACCACACTGTTGTCCTCTGTGCCCCTCAACCTGCTTCTGTGTCTGTGCAGTGAAGCAAATTGGGAACTGTAGAAAATAACTCCCAGCAATCCAATGTCTGAATAGTTATTTTTCTGCAAGACAAGTCCCCAGTTGGGTTACTGTGGGTCTTAACTCCTTGTAGAAGAAACACATCAGTGTTTGCCATAATAGTGGCACCTGAACAGTTCAGGTGCATGTTACCCTTCCTTAGTTGTGCCCTTTATTCTTTCACATCCTTCTGGTTTGGGTTGTAATTGTTGAACTGGAGTGTTTTGGTAACATAAAATGTGTGTCCTGTACCTCTGTGGAAGAGGGGATGGGGAAAGGAAACAAACCTATGGAGTTGGTAGTGGTTTATGCTGCTGACCAGGCTTCAGTTTTTCCATTTCATTGACATGATTGGAGCAAGAAAACACAAGGTTATTTTTGAATGTCTGGTCATGCTTTTGCTTGCTCTGGTAAGGAGCACTGTGTAACATTCATATTGGTGCTGGTATCATAGCAACTGAAGGAGTTAAATTTAGCAAATCCAAAGCTGAGAATGTTTTAAATACATTGCAATTAGAGCAGGATAGACTGAAGACCCTGAAGTTGTACAATTGTTCTTTTGTGGCAGACCTCGGCATTTAAGTAACGGATATTTTTCATGACAGAAGCAGGCTTGTAAATAACTGTTGAAAGTTTAACAGTTAATGGCTTTGCAGTTTATACTGGTTGAAGCTTCTGTCTGTAACAAAGTGTGTGTGACATAATTGGGATTTGCTGGATTTTTGTGACAACACTGTTAGATTCCTTCTGTTGGTGAGTGAGTTTTCTTTCCCAGGTAAACTTCATATATGATCTTAATTACAAGGTTTAACAGCACCTGAAATAAAATTGAAGTGTTCTTGAATAGTGTAGTTATCATTTTTGAGTTCTTTTTCTTTATATTTTCAAATAACTGTTTTACATGATGGAGTAGGATTGAGCAGTTTTGCTTTCTGGTCAGGGTAGGATCCCCTGTGAATCAGATCATCGTAGGGGAATCTTCAATGACACAGAAGAGTAATATGAGCTTTTGCATGGAAATTATGGAATTTGGCACTTTTCATGTGAAATGTGGTTATCTTAAAAAGAAAATGTAATTGAATTTTCATTGAGATGGCTATTCAAAAAGCTAAACATTTTAGTCTGACTTAATTCTCTACAGAATACCACCTACAGCACTATGTTTATAAAAATACATTTGCCAGTAAATGCAGTAGTTTGAAAAACCTAATTTTTTGAGAAATACCCAGTAATGGTATAATGATTGGGATTTTGGTAGTTATTTTTAGTTATGTGATATGCTACAGCTTTTGATAGTTGTATGCTGTTAGTCTCTTTTAAGACAGTTGGTATGCTGCTCACCTGAGTGAAAAGGAAGGAATTCTGATTTGAGCTTTTGAACAGGAATGATGCAATGCTGTCTTTATAGTAAAAAAAATAACTTTATTTTTATAGTATAACTTTATAGTAAAAAAATGATGGAATGAGCTACTGTTAAAACTTTGTTTTGGCACTTATGCTGTGGTAAATATATCCTCAAACACTTGTATTTAAGATAAATTACAGGTAATTGCCCTACTCTGAATGTGACTGTCTTTTGTTTCATCTAGCGGGGTAGAAGGAGGAATTTCTGGGGGGCCATGTGCAGATTCCTGAATCTGAAGTTTTAGCAAGAAACTGGATCCCTATGAAGTTTTGAACAGCCTTTAGATCAGTTCTCATCTTTATTCCCAAGGGTTCTTGGTGCAAAATAGTCTGTGAGAACAATGGCATCCCAGTCTCTGTTTTAGAGGCTCTTGTGTCATTTTTAAGTCCTATAGCTACGTAAATGTGACATCTGAATACTTCAGTCTTCAATGTGTTCATGTTCACAAATACCTGTAAGGTGTGGAAGTGCTGGGTGGCCTTTTGAGCCAGAGAGGAAGGCAGGGAGAGAGGAGTTAAGAAAAGTAACAGTGTGGAATTGGATCCAGATGTCCCAACTATCTGGTGGCTCTGTAATTGTTGGAGATTGTCTAGCACAAGGGTGTAAGAGCCTGTTACTGTCACTTCTATTCTCATTTATGTCATGTCAAGCAGGGGAAATAAAACACTGGGGAAATGGCCAGGGTTGGCAGGGCTTGTCACTTGTGGTTCTGAGAGTGGGTGGAGGCAATCCTATTTGTGTGTGGATTAGAGGTTCTGTTAGTCACACTGTGCTTTCCGCCACGTGACTGACTTAGCTGGAAAGCTGGTGCTGCTCCCTGTTCCTGGTCTTCTCGTTCTAGGCCTGGAGCAGAGCCAGGTCTGTCCCACAGATGGAAAGCTGCAGGCTGTGCACTGTGCTCAGCATTGCATCGGCGTGGTTAGTCAGTGAGATGCTGGGACTGGGTTAGTGGCAGGCTTGTATTACAGGCTGGATAAAGGAGTTCATCAGATGCCTGTGGCGTAAGTACCAAGCTAACTGGTCTTTCAGGCAACATCTGCCTGTCCACTGCATTTCTTATTTAAACATGAAAATCTGTAAAAAACAAACAAGCATAAAACAAAAACAAAAGAACCAAACCCACTAAACAAAAACAACAAGACCCCCAACCAAACAAAAAAACACAGGAACTCCCAACCAAACATACTTTCTCATATAGGATATCTTAAATTTCCTGCCTTTTTTTTTTTTCTGGTTTTATAAGGAAAAGGTTTATGTGATAGTGCTAGAGAAATGCTTGCAGCAAGTTTTGGGGCTTTTTTATTATCACTGTAGGGATGCCAACTTAAATACTGTGACAGTCTCTCTTCTTTTCAAAATCATATTGTTGTTATTTCTGAAACTAGAAACAATTTGAATGCCTTTACCTAAGATTTCAAGGAATCTTGCTCAAACACTGCTGGTGACCTGATCAAAACTATCTATGCAAAAGCCTGGTTGAGGCAGTTCCCCTGCTTTGTGGAGGGAAAAATCCCTGTCATTTGCTCCTTGTAGTTTCTGCTGCTCCTGCCAGTGCTGCTGCAAAGGCCAGCAGGAGCAGCTAAAGCCTGAGTCATCCCCCTCGGAGGCTGAGCACCAATGCGGTGCAGAGTTGCTGTGCTTGGCACCATGCTGTTCTTTGAAACATTCCCTCTAGTGCCTACAAGAAATGTACACCTCTGTAGAGGTTAATTCAGGATGGTAGTGCAGTGCTTTAAACGAGGCTTCAGTGGTTATACAAGGTAAACACTTTGTGACAAAGAAGTAATTATACTATGCAAATAAAATAAAAGTCGTGCAGTGTCTAGACATAATGTGTTCTCTTTTTTTTTTGTCAGCATTATGAAATCTACTGGGCTAAATTTCTCGTGATATCTAAAGATCCAATTTTCTGTTTCTCTTTACAGCTGGATCAGTTGGCTGTAGATGCTGCAAAGGAGAAGAGAGATATGGAGCAAAAGCACTCCACTATTCAACAAAAGGTACTTGAGAGAATATAAAAGGCAGGCTGCACACACATTTTTGTATCTGTAGCATCTCTTCCCAGCAGTTTGCATCTCTGCATCAGAACTGTGAGGGATGGTATCTTTTAGTGCAGAGAGACAGATTTACACATCAGTAAGCACAGGGTCAGATTGGAGATATTAATTTTGTTTTACAGAACCAAATATTATGTTTTTACTGAAACATGAATAGAACGATATAATTTATTCAAATGCTGGGATTCTAACATTTCAGTTACATCTTGGATTCAATGCAGTTGTACAAGTTGCTGTGATTCCCTCCTGTGTGTCTGTAGAAGAGGTGTGTGTGCTGCACAGCCCTACAGACACACACATACACAGCACTTTGGGCTGTGCCAAATATGAGTGCAGCACTTTGAGGTGGTGTGGCAGCTGCTGTCGCATATAAAGAGCAAAAGTGAACTTTTGGAAAGGCTGTGTAATGCATGGGTTTAACTGTACACAAATATGAAAGTGATAACATTGGATTCCTGCTTTGGGAAGATTTTTATGTGCAATAATTTTCTTCCTTTTGCTTGTTGAGAAAAATGTAGATACTTTATGTTGAGGGGGGAAATGACTTCTGTTGTTTGGATGTTTCAGAAGCTCTAGGTCAGTATTGGTTTTGCAGGTATAATACTAGAAGTTAAAAATATTTCCACTGAACTCTGGTAGTGAGCTAATACTGCAGGTACTTTTGAAAGGGATTAGATACCAGTTTAAAGGTAATGCTGCACTTCTTACTCTCATTCAAATATGTTCTGTATCCATTCAGATGGGATAAATTTAAAAAAAAAAGAGCTCAATGTAATTGAAATCTGATGAGTAAATAAATTCAGAAATGAAAGCAAGTGGAGATTATAATTGAGGTAGCCTTAGTAGGAGCCAATATTAATACTAATGGGAAAAGGTAACATTTTTGGTTGATGAAAACATTTTTGTTGGTTCATCCTGTCATTCCTTCAGGAATTGGTGGGAAACAATAGGATTGCTGTGAAATCGAGCAGATGTGATGATGGAGTTTAGGACAGTCCTGATGTGCTGTGTTTGGAGGCAGACAGGAGATAACAGGAAAGGAAAGGGAAGAAAGAGGGGGAAGTGGGAAAAAGATGGAACTGGAGAATTAACACTGAAAATCAAATTTTAATTTGTTTGGGCTTAATAGGCCTAGTTTTAGGAATGGGCACTAGTTGAGAAGTTTACTGTTAGAGAACAGTGGTGCTTGGTGAAGTATGTAAGTTATGAGCAATTATCTTTTAATTAGCCATAGGAATAATAACTGTGAATTATGGTTGGTGTTTACGGTCTTTGTTTTTTCTTCAAATGCTGCTTAAGGCTGCCTTACAGGTAAACTATTTTTAGTAGTATCAAATATCACTGAAACTTTTAAGCTTCATGAAACTCGATAAGTCGTATCTGTGTGTAATATAAATGTTCTTGATTTCTAGTACAAATGGCAATCACAATGAGGTTACTTATATTGTTGCTTGCTTTAATTGACAAGGCTGTCTCTAAAATATAATCAGGGCAGTCAGATTGTATTGTATGTTGCCCTCTTAAATTCTGTGTCTTGAGTTGTGTATGTTGTCTCCTGTCCTTGTCAGTCACTGTTGCATTTTTGTGATGATAATGCCTGGACTGTGCTTTCTTGGAGATTGCTCTTATAGCTTGTCCAGTCATTTTCTTGGATTCTTATTCAAATCATGTTGTCTGTTTTTGTCTCCTCCTACTTGCTTTTCCCAACCTTCACACAAAGTTAGTTTCCAGCTCATCAGGATGAGAACTGCCTTAGACCTTGGATCTTGTTCTTTGTATCATTATTTGTCATCTGGTCAGTTTGACCCAGATGGCAACTCTATTCTCTGTTCCCATGTCTCGTCATGTTGCTTTCTACTGTGTTGCCTCTTAGACATACATTCCCAAATCTTTCCATGTTTTATAAAAACTGAAACTTCTGAAGCTGCTTGTGTTGAATATCCCACGAGGTATATGTGCATTTAATATACTGAAGTTTTAATCTAATGCTTCAGAATGATGCCTTTCCTTCATTGTGTGGATAAAGAACAGTTCCTTTTCTGAAATGTATAGGTAAGTGCATATGTGCACACACCTACCCCCCCACTACCTGTGTTTGCATATATGTGCGTATGCATGCAAATTAATTGCACTAATTAAATAATCCATCTCACTTTTCTGTAGAATCATCATCCTATTCATTTAGGCTGTTGTCGAAGAAGAGGCTAATACAGGTGTCATGGAAGGGCTTGGTCACCGATATAGTGTGATTTCTTTTTTAAGAGAGCTGATATCTGATTTTTGTTTGTTTTATTTCTTTTAAGTGTTGAGGTCTATTGACACAGAAAATATGCAGGAAACAATTTTATGTTCTTTAGTGTAAGAAATTATTTTTTCCATATTAAACTGGAGCAATACATACTATGAATTAATCTAGAAATGACATCATCATTCTGGGAAATTTTTGCAATATATTTTTATAGGAAAAAAGAGTGATGTCACAGTGACAATACTTAAGACATTACTTTTGTGTGAGCAGTTTGCAGCCCACTGCTGCAATAACATATTCAATTAAGAAATAATTTAAAAGTCACTTGGACCTGTAAACAGCATTATGGTTTTTTGGTTTTGTGACAGAGCTAATATTTTGTTCTAAAATAAGGGAAATAATACAGGAAAAGTTATTTCTTTTGAACTTCAAATAGTTTTCGTTGTATTCAAATCCCTTTTTCATTAAAATAAAAATCTGCTTCCGAAAAACTGCTCAGGAAACAGCTGGAGTGAGAATGATTTGAAAATTTTTAACATCTTGAGTAAACAAGGTGGTAGGAAACCAGATGCTACCACAGTCACGTGAACCAGAGCTGCTGTTGAGAAGTAATGCAGACTAATTCCTGCCTCCAAAAGCAAAGATGTGCTCGTGTTTCAAGTGACTTGTTTGCTCAGTGACACTCTCGCCTTCTCCCTCTGTCTTGGATTAAAAACCTTGTTACTTGTTGTGTCTGTTGTTATTTTAAGCCCTTTCTGGAGGGACTTTCAGCTTAAGCATGACAAACATTTCTTGCTGATTGATGGGGAAGGGAATGGAATGGAAGCAAAACTTTCTGAATGGGGGGTTTGCACAATTATTGTCCTTTATTTCCCAAATCTTCATTCACGAAGCCTAGCCATGATGTCCTTTATTTAGTATATTCTGGCCTAACTTTTCAGGTTAGCGTTTTCTTTGGTAGTTACACTCCCCCATTTACTTCCCTTATAAAAAACTTTTAAAATGCTGCATCTCTAGAGTAAAAAACCATTTTGAAAACTTATTCAGTGTTAAGATTCAGTGTTAAAATACAGTCCCTAAGATTTACTGGTAAAATGGCTTAAACAGCTTTCATGACCTGATAGCAATTTTCATGTTGAAAGTAAATCAAAAGCTCTGCTGCTGAAAGGCATGGGAGGGGTTGTTTTGGTAAAAGAGAATTGTATGTAGAGAAACATAAAACATGCAAGCTATGAAATGAATCAAGTATTTGTGATGAATTGATATGTTCATATGAAAATACATTCACTGAAACCCTGTCAAGAATATTAAGTGTTCTGTGACACACCAGATTAGTATTATTTCTGGAGATTAAAGATGGTTTTCCATTTCCAGCTGGTTTGCTGTACCTCATGGACATTTAAAGAAAAAGAGGGGGAAAAAAGGCATTGAAAACATGCTGTATGCTTCACTTATATAACCCACTTGTACATGTTTGTTTTCCAGTAGCAGCCAACCATGAAAAACGAGTGTCAGAATAGAATCCATAGATGTTTCTTCTTTCAAATCTGAATGAAATGTGTGATGTAGCACTTCAGTGTAACTTGCATAATACTGGCTTGATTTTCTTAGTTCTGATTAGGTAAAATGTACTTTAGCCCTAACTGACACCTAATTAGTAAACAAATTATGTTTAAAATAAAATATTTATCAGTTGTGTACCTGCTTAATGAACACAAAATTCTGAATCACATACAGTGACTGGGTTTATTAACATGTGATTCTCCTATGCAGGACACTGGAAAGATATGGATGTATTTCTCTCCACCCCCTGATGATTCTTCATGATTCACTAAACTTTTCCATATACCAAGTTAAAAATAAACTATAATGTGACTGCTTTTCTCCAATTTTTTAATTATAAAATAGCAGAGACTATAAGATCAGATACAGCTTATCTAGTTTGTTTTCCTACTTGTATCCATGTAATTGAAATGAAGTGGGGCATGGTTTTTTGTGATTGTTTGGTCATCTTTTTCCTGACCACAACTTTATTAATGAAGTTTTATGGATAAAGCATATGGAAGCCTTACTCCCTCCTCCTCGAGCTGGTAGTCTGCTCTCTGCAGTTAGGAAGCTATTTAACATTTGTCTGTATACTCTTGTGTCTTTTTTTGCTGTATAAAGGTGGAATTCAATCAGGGAAGTCATTAAAATGACACTAAATGCACTTCATGAGGAAGGGTCAGTGTTTTAGACAATTTGGACTGAGACTGTGGCGTGATAAACAATCCAAAGAAGGTTTCTCTGGGTCCCTTTCCCCACCCACAACGTGGGGGAGCCCAGTTCTAGTTCCATCTCCATCTGAAGAACCATTCCGACGTCTTGAGGGACGGGGAAAGGGAACTCCAGCGACAGGGTTTTTCAGGCCTGGAGGGGAGAGGTGCCACCTCCTCCCCCCACACACGTGGTCCCATGGCAGGCACAGAGACAGCACAGAGGAGGCAAGAGGACGTTTATTGTTGGAGATGTTACATTCATAGGGTTTAGGAGGATTCACAGAGTAACCAATTAGAAGTCTCAAGGGGCTTACAGGAACACCCAATCACAGGAAGGGGTTAACAAGGTCCAATGAAACACCTCAGGACACCTTTCCCAGGACATTCCTACATGGGAGATTACAGTTGTCATGGGGGGTGTTGGGAAGAAGAAACACTTGTTTGCAAAGAGACCACAAAAGGCCATTTTAAGACATGTTTAAACAAGTTTCTCATCAGATTTAGTGCTACAGGTTTTCTGTCATACTTGTATATGTCTTCAAAGCACGGATCAAGACTCATTGGAAAAGACAGTTACATTTTCTGCAGCAGTTCTCCAAACCCCAAGGAAAATGTGATTACACAGTAGTTTGATCAGAAAAGACTGAGGGAATGTATGTTGTCTTTCACTAGACAAGGAGTTGCAAGCATCACTGAGGCAGGAAGATGCAAATCTTTAGCAGGTTTCATTATGTTTGGGAGCTGGTAAGTTAGAGTAATTTATCATTTTTGTGGGAGGGAGGGAACGTGACATCAGCCTGTCAAAGTTGTGCTTATAGTGGTTTTCTTTTTTTTTTTTTTTGAGAGCATAAGAAACCAAAAAGAGTTTTTAACACTGAGAAAGTGTGTGTCATAAGTTGTGAAATACTAAATTAAAATTGTAGTGTGATACTTAGGTGTTTGTGCTTACATTAAGTCTTTTATATTCAGCATGTTCTGATCTCCAAAACAGGCAGAAAATCAAAGTTATTAAATGCCGAATAATAAATGCACAAATGCAGGCATCTTCCATTGATCATCTGTCAGTTAAATAATCTGGATTTAACATTTCAAATTTAGTTAATCTATTCAGATTGGTACTAGCTGAAAGTGCTGAGTAAGTTTAAGGTATTTATGCTGTGCTGACCAGGGAGTTTAAAGGCCCCATTTTAATATTTGTAGCCATTTCACTGTCATGTGTAATTAACCTTGGATTGGACCAAACCATCTGCATGTATAAGAGCAAACATCATGTGCAGCACAAAAGTTGTGTGCAGCCTGCACTGTTACATAGGGCTGCTGATGTTGGTTTTGAAGCTGATTACCTTTTATTTCTTTTTTTTTGATATTGCCTCTTTTCCTTGTGTACGTAGATAAATTCCTAAGGAGCAAAGTGCAAAACAGACTTACAGATACACTTTTCACACAGAGCTGATGTTTGCAATGTAAAATAAGTAACTGTTGAAGGTTCAGCAGAGTGATATTACAAAATGTTCTGTATCTTCAGTATTTAACCTGTTCATTTTTTTTTTCTGAAAGCTAATTTTTAGTGATGTGTCTCTTATGCCCTTGTAACGGGGAAGAAGCCGTATGTTGCTAGTTACTTTAGGATATATTGAACTAACAGTGAAATTAAATTATAGCATGTATGTTATTTTGATATGTGGACATAGCATATGATAAATTATGTGATTCCATTCCATTTTCATGCACCCCTAGTAAACTAAATTACTGTTAGCCTCCCACTCACTGAATATCTACTCTACCTCCTGGGAAGAGTCCACGCTGTTTTCAATGAGATGTGAAAGCAAATGATCACCACATGTATTATTACTTAGTCTAATCTGCCTTTGCTGGAGATGTGAAGCAGTCAACCTTCTAAAATTTGTAAAGCTGCTATTAACTGTTATTAGCTCATGTTATTTGTTATTAGTTTGATGAAAATGTATATTCCCTTGTCCTACCTGTAGTTTCGTAATCTTATCCAAGATCATAAAGGAAAAATTACTAAGTTCTTGTCATCATTTCCAGCACTGTGACTGCTTTAATTTAGAGTTAACTGATGGCATCATCTTTATTTGATTACTTGTCTTCTAAATTCATGTTCGGCTCAATTGTCAAGATGACAGAGCTGAAGGAAATGCTGAAGCACAACTGGCTTTATTCAGGTGTCTGCAACAGGCTGCAGCTGTTTTTCAGTTTTGATTCCTGACTTTCATTGCCCCATTTCCTGTGCTTTGCTGTCCCTCTTCTTGGGAATATATGTGAGACCATTTCAGCAGTTGAAACTGCTCAAATGAGATGCTCTGTTAGCAATGTTTGCCCTCTGTAGAGGTCACCAATACCTGAGCAAGAAATTCCCCTTGTGTACAGGTAAAGTAAAAATCTTCAGTGTTCTGATCTCCTAAAACTGCATTTAAAAAAAAATCTTCAGGAACTGAGTCATGGTTTGACTATTAAGTGTTGCAAGCAAAACATCATTCCTAGATATGTTTACTCTTTGACAATAGTACTGCCCATACTTGAAATTTCATTTGAAACTGCAATGTCTTATTTTTGTCTTGTTCCTTTGTCCTAGGATTATTCCAGTGATGATACAAAACTAGAATACAATGTAGATGCAGCCAATGGTATTGTTATGGAAGGTTATCTGTTTAAGCGAGCCAGCAATGCCTTCAAGACTTGGAACAGGTAATTATTGAGAATCTCTATTTGCTGCTTATAAAGATACTGCTTGGTAAGCTGAATTCTGGTCTGACTTAAAATCTGTGTAACTCTCTGATTCCACAGCTTTGACAGAACACTGGGGTGGTTCTGTTAATTAAAGTAGAGATGACACTTCAAAGCCATTTTTCCTTATTTTCTGTCCTAATTGTTTGCAGACCTTTTTCTAAGAGTGTACCTTTGTTTGTAAAAGTCCTATGTATGGAAAGCCTGCTTTGTTGGGTGCAGCCTTGCTTTGTAATTGTGCTTTGGCCTTACTTTGGGGTTGAAACAGAGCAATCCTTGGGATTGCATACAATAAACTCTGTGAGTGGATATGCTAGGAAAGTATTAGAAGACAAAGTAAAATGGAAGTTGGGTGGCCAATGGAAACAGGGAAACACAGTCAAGGACTCAAGCTATTTTTCCTGAAAGATAAACAATGTAATTGTTATATTTTACAATTCCTGTCTTGTGCAGTGACTTTTGCTAAGTAGTTTTGATGGTTCTTTTGAAAATTCAAAGTATGTTGTTAGTCATATATCTTTAACAATGTACATTTTACTATTTAAATATTTTTCTCCCTGAATAGGATTTCTTTTGAGTTTCCGAGGGTATATACTTTTCTCATGGAAATACATATGCTGGAGCATTTATAGCACAGTTTGATACAGTTCTTGAATTTTAAAGATAATTTGTTGTAATACAGAGTTCTTTTTCCTATCTCGTGTTCTGCAATTTTTTCAGCAGTGCTTCTGTTAAACCATTTGCTTTGTTTCAAAGGCCAGTATATGCATTTGGATGTGTGGTCCCTTCCAGTCTTAATTATTCTATACTGTATTGAGCATCTTGGAACACCACAAATCTGTAACAAATTGGGATTGCTTCACTTCGATCTGTAGACTGATGCAAGGGCTATGCTGTCAATAAAACTGTATCTGTATTAGCAAGTCATGGGCAGCTTGTACACAGGATTTTGCTTTGGACTAATTCTGGTCTGGTCCTATGGTCTGATTATTTGTCTGTAATTGTAATGTACCTTCTGGGTTAGTTTCCTACAAGCAGAATTCAGAGTTCTCTGAGACAAATCTGTGAAGCATCAAAGGATGGCGAAGGGAGAAAATGGGGAGATGTGCTTCCAGAGCATATTCCTGGTGTGAAGTAAAACAGTGTGAAAATATGGAGAAAAATCTGCAGTAACAGGGCAGGACATTGTCCTTTATTGGATTCTTAGTGGGCTGAAAGGTGGAAACACCTTTTTGCCAAGGTGTTTTGCAGGATTAACTGAAAGCAAAACTGACTCTCTCTGAGTTCCTCTTTTGGGTAACAGGAAGGCCTTCCTCTTCAGGGAGGTGACAGGAGGGAGCAGGAGAGGAGTGTTGGAGGATAGTTGGGTAATATTCTCTTTCCACATGGCTCCATATCTAGTAATACTGTGCATGTATCTTACCTTAAAGTGTTTAGAGAGTAGGATTCAATTAAAACTGACTTCTGTATGTTGGAAATTTAAATAGACACAAAGTAAATAAGTTGTAATTAAATCAAGATACACCATGACATTCCTTTAGATTAAGTTACAGGTTTGAACATACATAATAAGAGTGTACCCAAACAATAAGTTATTTAAGAGAGCCAAGGTAAACAGCTTGGTAATGAGTCAGAGCTACCTACTTTTATTACATAATTGATATTTACTTATAGTTTTTCTCCTGTTTATCACAGGAGTGTTCAATAAAGCAAAACCTTTAACCTTTTTAATATTATATTCTTGATAATTTATCTCACTGTGATAGACTAGTTGGATGCTTCAGAATAAGAGAATAGGATTGAATATGCTACCTGTAAGCAGTTCAGAAATTGAATCAATGATTTTAATTTTGTATTTCACATATTCACAAACCACTACTAATTGTTATGAAACTCTTACTATCATACATAAAATATGCATTTAAGACCTTTATGAAGACAACTTTTAGTTTCTGAATCTAACCCCTCCATTTTTTTCTATGTTTTAATAAAAATAGAGAGGTATTTTTGTGTTATTTTTATTTCTCAATACATTTGTAATTGCTTGTTATATTGTAGGCACTGGAATGGTCACTGCCATTTTCCACTGCCTGTTTCCCCTGATGGAATGCTTTACTTATGTAGTGTTGCAGTTTCAGCTGTGGGGAGCTAATACTGATTAAAGTTTACCATATATTAGAGATTAGAATGTTTTTCCAGTCACTAGGTAGAGTACAAGAAAGGACTGTGTCATTGCATTGAACTGTTTTATGTGTAAAAAAATACACAAAATATCAAAGGAGGAAACATTTAGAGAATTATGTATTTTCTATGAGGGAATTCTGAGCTGAAGTCAGAGACCCCAAGACACACAAGATACTTTCAATGTTCTTATCAGATTGGTAGTTTGCTGCTTCATTATATGCCCATCTTTGGAAGGTGGGTGGAAAATCAACCAGCTGAAGCAAAACCAGAAGAATTTGCCCAGAAATACAGGAATTTCCTGCTGTTCTGAACTGAGGGCAACAGCACTGATCTTCCTGCTGACTGCTAATTGCACCATCAGTAGTAATATGTATTTAAAATGGAAGCTTCTCTTTTCCCTCTGTTGCTGTCACTTGTTTTGTTGGTTCTAGGCCTTTTTTAGAACTCCTTTAAGACCAAATGAAAGGCACCAAAAGCCATTACAATGACCACTATTAGTGTAAATTTGCAAGTATTAAAAACATAAGGGAAAAGGAAATGGTACAATAGATTTTTGTCTAGGTTTGACACATGTCAGTGTGATTCTAGCTGACAGACTAGAGAATTGTGATCCTTCTGTGTCACCTATTGCTCAGTGAATCCATGGACCCTCATAGTGGATTATGAGGGTCCCATATCCTGGAAAAAGCCTTGTTGTTGGGGGAGAAAAAAATCAAAACTGTATAATGCAACCCTTTGAAGGGGGGGGCAAATGTGTTGTAATGAATGAAAACTTCTTTTGTTTCCGGTCCAAGGTAATGTCTTGCTGGGATGATGAAGTTTCTTCCTAGGGCACCTGGCAGCTTGTGTTTCATTGTCTGAAGATTTTAATTATTTGGGCTTTTGCATCAAGTTTCCTGCTCTTGGAATGGTTCTACATGACAGAAAACTTTGGCTTGAGAAACAAATAAGTGTTTGAGCAAGTTGCAGAGTAAACCACGAGCTAGCTGCAATTCAGTGTTGCTGTGCTTTGAAATAGATGGAAATTTTGCAATCTCTTTTTGTTGTGACCAAAGGACAGTGTATAATGTACACAAGTATTTCAGATAATACCGTTTAGTGAAATCAGAATTACATCTTTATGTTGTTAAGTCTTACAGTAACAGCTAGGGAGATATACCTGTGTTTTGAATGTGTGTCTATGTGTTGGTAAATGATATACCTTATTGTACACCATTTTTTTTAAGGCATCAGGAGCTGGAGTCAGGTGCATTTACTGTGGCACAGGAGCTGGAAAGCTGTTTTGGTTCCTAGAAATTCAAATGAAAAATAAGTTCATATCATGAACAAAGATATGCGTGAATAAATGTGTGTAGGGAGGAAAGCATTTGTCAAACCACTAGTATGTTCTAAATAGCATTTAGATTGGGTGCATTAAATGTTTTCCTTTTTAATTCTCTTGTATTTTCAGGTCATGCTAATTCTTTGCTTATTTTGCTCATTTTGCATTTTTCATTCCTTCTCCTCCTTTCCCTTATGTTTTAATCCTACCCCATTTTTTCACATGACAGGAAAAAGCCAGATCACATCAGGTACCAACCAGCTTCTTTTATACTTTCCCAATGTTTCTTTGGCACGCAAAAAGCTCTTCATTAACCCTGCATTTAATTTTGATTACTTGCAATGGATGTATAAGTGACTCAGTCTAAGAAAATAACAGAAGGATTCTGCCTGGGATGCCAGCATACCTGCTGCTCAACACTTTTAAAAGAATTAGAAAGATTGAGCTAGTTTTTAGCTAAAAAGGAATTAAAGCAAAGTTTCTGCACTCAAACTTCTGAGCGTACAAATCAGTGTTTTGACTTTTTCCAATTGAAGTTGGTGAGATTTTCTTTTTTCTTATCAACTGCATTGGGAATAGAGATGTACTTTTAAATGTTGTGCATTCTTAGTCACTCTGTTTTACTTGTGTGCTGCTTGCAACAAGAGAAGAAAACTGTTTCCTTTTAAGAATCAATAAGCATGATTCATTGTTTTTATGTAAAACTCAAGTTCTATATTTTCAGTATTATTCTGTTCTCTGAAATCAGATTTTTTTTTATAAATTTTGCATTATTTTATATTTAACAAATATGGTTTTGAATTGTTTAGATATAAAGGATGGAAAACATTCTGCTTCTAAACACAAACTAAATTTAAGCACTACTGAGACAGTGTAAATTACTTTAAGATTCCCAAGTATGTTTTCTTCTTCACGATGCTTCTCTCCTGTTTTTGACAGAGTGGCACATTTAAAGAAAGTGTGGTAATAATCAGTACTTACTGCACACATGTTGCCTAAGGGTTTATGAACATTATTCTTACAACAGAATAGCTGTGGGTTACCCTATAAAAGCACCTTCATTGTCCCTCAGGAGTTCATGGCTGTTACTGCTGCAGGCCCCCAGCATTCTGTTTCCTACTCAGACTTTATTGATGGTATTTGGTTAATGAGGAATAACTCTGAAAGATTTTGACCTGAATAAAAGTGCTATGGCACTGACACCTTGGGGACAGCCTGCCACTTTTATCTTGTCAAGCAAAAAGTAAATGCATCAGCTCTGACGTCTACTTCAAAAGTGTGATCTGCAAGTTATCCTACATTCTGAATTGTTGATCTTGTTCAATAAAAGTTTCTTTTAAAAAATTACCAAAATCTGCAGCCTTTTTAGCTGGACTGGAAATTTCTCTTCAACAGGTTTAATTTCTCTGCTAGGAAAAAAAGGGACTGAAATACTTTGAAAACTTCTAGACTAGACTTTGAAGGTGACACAGATTTGTGTTACAATTTGTGTGCTCAGTTGTATCCATTGGATGAGAGTGGAGCTTATTTACTATAGTAAATCCTGAAATATTTAGCTGTAGAACAAATGAAGCCTTGCATTAATGAAGTTAATGGCCTTAGGTAGTGTAATTATTAGGGATTTGCTCCCTTGCATGTTGTCTTGAGGCAAGGCTGCTTTTTTTCCCCCCTTTATTACTTAGGCACCACTTTTCATGTTTTTCTGTTTTGTGTTATATTAAAAAAAAAAAAGGCACGTGAAAAAAGCCTGAGTTTATTTTCCTTTTCTGGTCTGCTTTTTTGTTGAGTTTCCTATTTAAATATTAGCAACAGCCTGCCTTATGCAGGGTATGAGGCTTAGTTACTGCATTTGTAAATAGATGATAAAGGTGATACCTCTTCAATAGCAGTGACCAAAACTACTGCTGTTAATAAATTGGAAAAATCAAGGACAACGGGATATCCCGTTGTTGCTTTTTAAATTAAATATATCTGCACAACATTTGAAAAGATTAATTGTTAAAAGGTAGAATCTCATCTGTCTACTAAGCACTAACTTTTTTCTAACAAATACTAGGTTTTCTGTTTTGAATCTAACATTTTTGTATATCCTAATTTTCCTTAACAATCTTTGTGCACTTCTTTCCATGAATGGCTTTTGGTGGTTGAATAAATACATGGAGCCCTCTTGTTACTAACTGTAGTGAACTACAGCTTGAAGCTCAAAGGTCTGTGGAGAATAACAAGATCTGTTGCAATACAATATTTTGTGTATGAATGGTTACCATTCAGACTAATTGGCAGTGCAGGCAAAAATGACGTGTGGTATAAGTGGGGTGTTGGAGATAATTGAGGAATTACGCTGCGGTAAACACAGGTTTGCATTTTAAGCCTGAACAAAACAAAAAGTGTAAAATTCACTGCAGGACGGAATTATTTTTTACGTTCCCTTCATTTTTGTCAGTTCAAAACCAGTGATGATTAGTTAGCTTTTATTTTGTGCATCTCCAGAATATCTAGAAAGGTATGGTTATATCTGGTCCTTTTTTTGTTGTATTCAGTGGTCTGATAAAACATCGTTGTTAGAGATCTGAGACACTTCTAATTATTTCCCAAATATGAAAGATCTTTTCATTCTCTGAGTTGTATCCTATCTGAACAGGGGATTAGAGAGGGAAGGATACAGTTCAGAGTTTTTAAGCATTACATTATCTTTTGGATTTTAAAGGATGCCTTCATTAAATCTTTTATTTTATATTTTCATTCCAAGCTGAGGTTTAAGTTAAGATCCTACTTAAAAGGTTATCTTGGGGTTTTTTTAGTTTTTATTTGCAATCTTTTTATTTCAGGATCTAAAATTTTAAGAAATGACCAATATAAATATTAAACATGCATGGGATAGCAACACTAGTATTTTTAGTGCCTTAATAAGTTATTTCTTAGTTCTACCCTCAAAAATATTTTGGGAGTAGTTTACATGGTTCAAGTATTTTTGTTATTCAAACTATCTGAATTTGTGTTATCAGCTATTTAAAATTGTAGCTTGCTGCTAAAATACAGAAGGAAATGTTCTTTGAAATGAAAATGTTTTTTTGTGATAGCTTAACTAATGTTGTCATAACATGAATGTGTTTGTTTAGGACTCAAATTATTTGAACCTTGCTTTCTTTTCTGTTTTGTCTCTGCTTTCCCTTTTTTCCTTCTTCTCACGAAATACTTGCCAAAACTGACTGCAGCATTACTCTCGTGAATTCTTTTATTCAGTCTCTCTGTAGACTGTATGTTTGCACATTTCAGTCCAATAAGCACTGTAAAATCAGTTACATATTCTCTGGATGTCTCTTCATTTGAATAGGCGCTGGTTCTCAATACAAAATAACCAACTTGTGTACCAGAAGAAATTTAAGGTAGGATTCAAAAATTGGCTTGGGATAGTTTGGGGTTTGGGTGATGGTTTTGCCGATAGATTGGGAAAACAGTGCTGACTTTGGCATCCTGCATGATCTTCAACAACCCACTGCTTTTTCTAAATTGGTTTCTCCCTTTGTAAAATGAGACTAATGGCTACACTGACAGATTCTGAGATTCCTGTGCAGTGACTTGTGAGCACATACTTTATTTGCTGTGGGGTTTGTAACCTAGTTAAAGCTTTAAAAGTTGTTGGTCCCAAAAGGCTTGTGCACACTTGCTGGCAGTCAAATATTCCGTGCTGTTCTCTGAGCAGTTGTGTTTAACTCTTTCAGGACTTGCTCCCTCCAGTTACTTACTGGTTCACATACCCAATTTAGCAGTTGGGGAGAGAGGGGGAAAAGAGGCATGAAAGATTTTATTATGAAGCAGTCAGGGCTGCTTTGTACATGTATTGACTGACGAAAATGCACAGGGGTTCAGCAGTCAATATCTGCCTTTCTGCTGGTGGGAAGGGGCAGTAGCTGTATATTACAGAAGCAAGTCCAGCTCTGCTCCAAGCTGTAGAAGCCTTTTCAGTCAGCTTTTGGGCCCCTGCTTCTTTGTTTGCTGTTCTAGAATCTGCTTTTGTACCACATAGCTGTAACTGTTCTTCAGGTTGGAAAAAACTAGAAAACTGTATGGAGACAGCGGGGAAAAAAGAGGAAAGAGTTTATGACAAGTCCTTCCTCTTTACTGCAAACAGACTGGGTTCAGAGCTGTTCCGTGTTTTCTGATGCTGTCAAACCCAGGGGCTTCATTTTTGTGGTTGGAAAGGAAGGAAACAGTTGTGTGTGTGTGAGCACATTTGGTTGGGTTGGGCATTTTCTGTTTGTAAATTCCCATTACCTTTTTTTTTTAACTGCACCCTTAAAATGGTGATAGCTTAGAATAGAATTCTTATGAATTGAATCAGATTTTCAAAAGCAATGCTTTCAACTTCTGGGTTTTTTTTATTTGGCATTTGCAGTACTGCTGATAATTTTTCAGATTTTCTTGTGAGTTAATAGCATCTCTTAGAAAGTATCTTTGTACTCCTTTGAATACCATTGTTTAAATACTGCTGTTTAAATTGAGGGTGTTTAATACTTAGTGAATTGCATTGTAGGCAAAAAGAAATTCTCTCAAGTCTGTATTAAATTTTCATTAAATGTAACTAAACATTAAAATTTATCTAAATATATCCTGCTAGGTATCTCCAGATCCACCAGTTTCCAATTTTATTTTTAGGGGGAAAATTTGTGTAAACAGGCAAATAGAATTGAATTATGCCTATTTTGGGATTACTAGCAACGATATTATTTTTCCTCTCTGACATTTTTGTTAATTTTTTGTTTCTTAGGATAATCCCACAGTAGTTGTTGAAGACTTGCGGCTCTGCACGGTTAAACACTGTGAAGACATAGAAAGGCGTTTCTGTTTTGAGGTGGTTTCTCCAACAAAGTAAGGAGAAGTGATATAGTATGTTTATTTAAAAATAATAATAATAATAATAAAAAAAATCGTTACATCCAGTTGTCTTAAAATGCAAGACTAACATTTCTCTTGGGATAGATCAAAACGGGAAAACTATCTGAACAGTTTTGTTCTCTGAAATTTTGGCTAAGAGTAAGTGATGCTGTGAGAAGTGTTCCTGGTATTTAGTTTACTTTTGGCATTAAAATAAACATACATTCTTGTGCTTTTTGCATAAATAGCTTGTGGTGCAGAGCTGTTGCAGCTCAGTAGTAGCTGATACTATCAGCTGCTTAATAAGGTAGAAAATAGGTCTCAATTTCTCCACATTTCGGATTGGTGTAATGAGAGAGAAGCACATAAGTTCTCTTGGTAATGTTAAATTATATTTCAGAATGCACTAAATGAAACTGCCAAATAAAATTGTTTTTCAGCTCCAACAGTGCAGTGCATTGGCTGTATTTGGGGAAGTTTGGCATCCTGCCACAGCAAGGGCAGGACATGGATTCCTCATTAGTGTTTTTGAGATGTGACCATATTTAAGTTTTTGATACGAGGTCAACCTGCTTTTAGGTTTGGATGTTATGTGTACTCCCCACTCCTTACATTTCTCTTCTGAATAGATTTCTGTCCATCCTGATGTTTGCATTCCCAGTTGTGGTTCACTATAGCTGCATTTTGCTCTTCCTTATCTGTGCTTTTTTGAGTGTTGGAACAGTTTTATACTTCATGACCTGTTTCCTTTGACTGTTGGTGTGAAAAGTAGTTCATTCTTTGTCAGAGAGCTTTAAATTATTCTCTCTTGATCTCAGTGAATGAAAGTGTGTTTCTAAGGACTGTACTTGTATCTTGTGTAACTAGTCATGGGGGGTAAAATGCAAATGAGGATATGAAAATGAAAAATTTGGAATAAAAAAAGGAATAGGAAGCTAAGGCATGCTCTAGGTTATTTGAAGAGTCATATCTGTGTGTTTTAGCATTACCTGCAAATAATTTTGAAATATGGAGTTTACAACTCACAAAGGCTCAGCCGCTTTGTTATCTCAAAATAAATGGGTATATTAGATGATGCCTGCTAAACAGTTTACTTGTTAGCAAGAAAGTTCCTCAGGAGTTTTTATTGTTGGATGTCAGCTGCTTGGCCACTCTCTCTTACTCTGAGCACTCGTGGTTTGTCACAGGAGCTGCATGCTTCAGGCGGACTCAGAAAAGCTGCGGCAGGCCTGGATTAAGGCTGTTCAGACCAGTATTGCCACAGCATACAGAGAGAAAGGGGATGAATCTGAGGTGAGTTTAAAAATCAACCAAATGACAACCCCCCTTTAGACACTGAAAACTTAAAATAGATAAAACCTCTTTTAATGAGAGGGAAGGGAAAAAAAAGAATCCATTATTTGTCTTCCACTGGAAATGCAATGAAATTATGTGTAATCTGTCTTTCATTTCATTTTATTAATGTTATTTTGGCCTATATATTTTTATGAGATTTTTCTGTAGTGTGATTAAAATTCATAGGATACTCCTATATTCAGTTCTGTATTTCTTCTAAAAAGCTAAATATTTTTTCAGTTCTATGGATTTCCTTGGCCTTTAATGCAGTAGTGACTTTTCTTGGATTCTAGTGCACAGTCAGTATCTGTGGGACTTCTGTTACTTTAATTTAGTATGTCTCTTTTTATTGGTTTGCTTGGGTTTTTTTCTCTTTTAGAAACAGGAAAAGAAATCATCCCCTTCTACTGGAAGCCTAGAATCTGGGAGTGAGTCAAAAGAGAAGTTGTTAAAGGGAGAGAGTGCTCTGCAGCGAGTTCAGTGTATTCCTGGTAATGCTGCCTGCTGTGACTGTGGTTTGGCAGATCCTCGCTGGGCCAGTATCAACCTCGGAATCACACTGTGCATCGAGTGCTCTGGGATACACAGGTTGGGGAACTCTTCAGAACTGTTTGATTTGTGCATTGACTTAATTAGGAAGGGTGGTGTTTGCCTCTTCAAATGTATGTGGAAGCAAAATTAGGGACCCCTGTTTGTAAACACAATATAGATAACTGCTTTCTCTGCATAAATTAATGTTCAATCTAAGATATAGCATAGTAGTTACAGGTTAATTTTTTTTTCATGCTGTTTAGGAGCTTGGGAGTCCATTTTTCAAAAGTAAGATCTTTAACGTTGGATTCATGGGAACCTGAACTCCTAAAGGTATGATAGTATTTTTGAAAGAGATTTCTGTTTGGTACTTAGATTGTTGTTCTAAAGCCTCTATATCAGAAAATTCAGTGCAGGAAACACTGGAATTTGTACCCAGTAGATGTCCTACACTTCTGAGTAGAAAATGTTTATAGTTGTGTGTTGTTTTATTTTAATTCACAGTTTTTATAATCCCCGCTGTAGCAGGAATCATTTGTGTTAGAAACTTGCAAGTCAGAAAAATTTACACCACCTTCAGGTTCGCAAGTGCACTTTGAGTACCAAGTTTTATCTGATATTTTCAACATCTAAAAAAGGCAAATCTATTTACAGACCAATAATGTCTTGTAGCAAGCTGAAAAGTTTTGCAAGTGGTGTATCAGCCTAAAGCATAATTGTACTTGAAAATTTGAATGCCAGCTCTTAACAGTGAGATCCTACTGGCTTATGGGATATCACTCATGCAACTGCTTGTGTGCTATTTGTATGCCAGACTTCCAGCTTGAAAGATGGCTATGAAAGTCATGTGAGTCTGCAGTACTGACATAGGAACTCGTGCACGGGTGCATGTGTGCAGCTGGATAACTGATGCAAAGCGTTTGTTTCTAGCTGTGATGTTCTGGCACCTAGGTATTGCTTCTCTATTCTGAACTATCAAAAGACAGTGTGAGTAGTGGTGTTTCATTTGTGGTTTGACATTAAGTTATTTTAATATCAGTGTGTTCATGCTAAGAAAACAAACAAACAACCCACCCCCCCCAAAAAAAAACTTTAGACCCCTTGTACTATTTATGTAAATACCAGAGCAAAGTATTTTACCTGGCATTAGAAGCAAGAAGTCTGCTCATTGCCATCAATAGGGCCAAATTCTCCTTTAAGTGGTATCTGCAGGCTGGGTTTTGTATTTGTTCTTTTTCTATAGTGGTATCAGATTATGGTTTAGCAAAACTGTCCATTGGATAGGATGGAGTAGAATTCATTAAATTGTCGGTTGTTGATGGGGTAAGAACAGCTTCTGGCAAAGCTGGTGGGAAAGAGCACCTTTGTTAATGAGGCCTGCAGGTGTCATTCTGGTGGTTGTTTTAGCAATCCTCTTTCAGTAGGGAATGGCAATTTAATAGAGTGGACTGTGTTTTTTGCTCTTGCACTCAGGATTTGGTGTCTCTGTTAATTGACTGTTTCATTATCATGATGCAAACCCATGCTTATTTCTGTAAGTGTACTTTTACCGGGGAAAAATATTGTAAAAATAGGCTGAGTGAGGTTAAAAACAACTAAATAGGTAGATAAAGCCTATTACAACTATATTTGAATTTATTTATTTTGCTTTATAGCTTATGTGTGAATTGGGAAATGATGTTATAAATAGAATATATGAAGCGAAGTTGGAAAAAGTGGGAATAAAGAAGCCACAATCTGGAAGCCAAAGGTAGTATTTTACTAGCAGTGCCTGTTACTTCCTTTTCTTGTTGCTTCCTTCAGCCTCTGGCTTTAAAACATGCTGCCAGTTAACTGTGTAACACTCCTTTGGTGTACTCTTTGTTTACCTGTATCACCAGGATGTTTTGCTCTCTCCCTTTTCTCACTCTGTCTTTATTGGGTATTCCCTCTGTTGGTCCCTTTCTGCTTCTCCTGTTCACTTGTTCTTTTTCTGATCTCACTCTCTCCTTTTGATGACAGCTCTGTAGCATCAAAGTGGGCATGTGGATTTTGTTTCCTCTCTTCTTGGTACCAGCTCAGCCAGCCAGTACTCCTGAGTGCTCCTGGAAGGAGCCTCTGGCTGTGCCTTTGTTTACAGTGACTTTGTTCTTGAGTTTGACTTTTGTTCCCTGATCCCCCAGAATGTTCTCTTCTTCCTGCCTACATTGTACATAAGCTCTGCTGCTTTACAGCAGCCTTCTAATCATTGTGCTGCTGTCTTCAATTCCTCTGATGCCAATTTGTGTTTGAAGGTAGTTTTCTGATATTTTGTGCTCCTGTATAGGGTGTCTCTTAAAACTTGTTTTTTTACTACCTTTCTGGTTCTGTGCTGCATACTGCCAGGTAGTTTTATGGTATAGAAAACAGCATTTTATGGAGTGTTGGCAATTTGGAGACAGTGATATTAATATAAATAATGTAGGAGATTTGCTAGCTATTCCTTCTAGTGGTAACTGCTTTCAGCAGTTTCAATGGTAATAATTATAGCCCCTTTCATCATGGCTGAATTGGCTTTGTGTTTTAAGCTGATAACCTCAGGTTACAAGAAAAAATACTTTGGTATGTGATATGGAATTGGGGGCTGTGCCTACCTAAGACTTGTTATGTTTTCTTATATAATCTTGATATTCCCTTAACAAATGTTGCAATTTATATTTACATAAGAAACTAAATATATGCTTTATTAATTGGTTATTAACAATGTAAAACATGTATAAAGGTTTAATACTGAGAAGTAACATACAGTAACTAATGCTTATTTCTTCCACATACCACTTTCTAAAGTGTCTGCCTGAAGGAAAATACACTTGCATAAACTTAACAAAATTACTTTCTTTTGAGCTTTATGGAAAGTTAATCAAGAATCCAGAAAAAGTTAGACAGTGTGCTTTGCATATTTCTGAAAATGTGCTATAGGTCTGTCTTATGTGTAATGCCAAACTACAGTCTTGGTTACTGACTTCAGTATGAAATAGGCATTCTTTTAATACATGAAAATACTAAAATATTAGCTTACTAACTCCGGGGATTTTGTACATGACAGGCAGGAGAAGGAGGCATACATCAGAGCAAAATATGTGGAGAGAAAGTTTGTAGAGAAGCAAGCTGCATCAGTACCTCTGCTTGAATCTGGAACAAAAGTTTTGCCTCCAAGTCAGGAAGAGAAAAGGCACAGTGGCCCTGAAAAATCCCTTTTGGCAGGGGAACAAGGTGCAGCATCCCAAAAAGGTATTTACACACTTATCTTCTTAGCTGTGTTACCCATTGTTCTTTGTAAAGTAATATATTTTTATATCCATTGATTTCTGCCTCATGCAGAAAAATCAGAATCTACTTTTTAATGGGTCGTAGCCTAGTGCAGAAGTACAGGGGAGAAAAGACTTGTTCAGAGATGTGCATTTTTACATGGGGAAGAACCTGGAATGGGGATGCTTATCATTCAGAAACATATTAACCACCTTCTTCCCTCCGTATTTTCACCCTTAATTTCTCCAATAACGTTCTCTCCTGCCCTGTCCCTTCCTTACTGCCTGCTTTGTGCTTTGCTAACTTGCATGTCCCAGCGGTTGCTGTAAGTAGCGACGAGGCGAGACGGGAGTCTCTGTTCTGTCCTGATGAACTAGATTCACTCTTCTCCTACTTTGATACCTCTTCAAAACTACGTAGTAGTAAGTACTACAGCTGTGGCGTGTTCAGTATTTGCACTAGTGATCCATCATGTGTTGTGGCCATCTCCCTGCTTTAATCTGTTGTCTCCAGGCTACTGCATTGCTTAGTGTCTTCATGAAATAATTTAAGCTTTTTTACTTATCCTGATTTTTTTTTTCTTTTCTAGTAATCTTTGACATTTATTATTATTATAATAAACATTATGGTTGCAAAACATGACTCCATATTTTTCTATGGATGCATTAAGGACACTGAATAATTACTAGCCATTTTTAAAAGTTGTGTTCAGGACCAAGTATAAGAGCTTGCTTTATTATCATGGTATCTGTGAAGAGCAGATAATTTAGGGTGTGCATAGTAATTGCAGTTTCTCCCCAAAACAGTCCGAAGCAGTGACAGTGGGATCCAGCCGAGCGCTGAGGACAGCAGAGAACACCTTGCCTCTACTGTATCAGCTAACAGTTTGTATGAACCAGGTGTGTTAGGCTTTGCATTGTAAGATGAAAATTTAAATGCTACCACTTGGTAGCATTTTCTGTTAAAGAGATTAGTGCTTGGTGATACAATTTGTCTCTGCTATCCTGGTGGGTTGAAATGCTTTTAACAAGGGTAAAAATTGCTTGAGTAATCTTTCCTCCAGACTTGCTACCAAGAATGGCATTAAATCCTTCTAAATGTGTTCAAAGAACTATGTTTTTTCCAGTCATATGAGACTGATCCAAGACTTTGGGTTTTTTTGCAGATAGAGCAATGCTGCATTTTGAGGCAGACAAGTCTCCACAGAAATGCATAATCCTGTTATAAATAGATAAATCCTTGGAGGCAGAATTCCTGTTGAGTCACAGATAATGGGCTTTTATGTGTTGTTTGACCATTCTTGCTTAATTTTTCTGTTTTCTACTTATGTGGAATTGACCATGTCCTTAAACATTACCCTCCCAACTCAGAAGTTCTATAAATTTATGGATGAAAATATTTGCTATCTAATATTAGCATGCTGTTCTGACAGATGTATTGAGTATCACTTGTCAGAATATCCAAAACATTTATTTATAAAGCCAAGTTAGTTTTCTACATCAAAGCACTCTTCTGAGGTATGTTGTAAACCCAGTAGTTCACAGCTGTGGTTGTAGGCAGGCAGCACGTGGCTTGGATCCTTTTTGACTGCATTATAAAAACATTTCTGGTGCTGTAGCTCGTGAAAGCTTTTATGTAACAATGTTTTTTATCTCCCAGACTTCACTCTGTATAACTGTTATTGAGGTGAAGAGAAAGATTATGCTTTAGTCCCAAGATTATAGCCACAGCAAGTAATTGGTAAATGACAATGGTATCTTTTAATGAAAACTAGGTCAAAACAGTATTAGTCTCAAATTCAGGTGTATCAAGCTGTTGCAGATAAAGATATATTTGTATGACTACATCTCTGCAGGAGATTAGTTTTATTCATATCTTGTAATTTAGAATAAAACACACTTCAAACCTAAAATAATTTCTGAGAAATGACATGGAATATCTAGATTGAAGGATATACACATGTGCTAGTAATGTGGAGAGAATGATTTCTGTGCAGTAATAGTTCTGTGAAGAGGCTGTGCCTGAATGCTGGAACAGGCTAAGGGCATCTATGATTTCCCCTGGCAGAATGGGGCAAGAATACACAGCATTCTGCAAAACCTGAACTTCCTTATGCCAGAGTGACGGTTTTGACCAGAATTCCAGGAGTTACCTTGTAAAAACAGAGATTAGATAAGCAATTTTTTTTTCTTTTCAGAAGGAGACAAGCAAGAGTCCTCTGTGTTCTGTGACTCCAAGCAGCCTAGTCCAGGATTGCAGCTGTACCGAGCTGCCTTTGAGAAGAATCTTCCTCATATGGCAGAAGCATTGGCCCACGGAGCTGAAGTAAACTGGGTCAACGTAGAAGAAAACAAAGCAACTCCACTCATTCAGGCAGTGCGAGGGGTATGTGATATACAGCCCTGGCTGGTGGGGGAGGAGGGGAAGGGATAATGGGGATGTTTCTGTGTCACTGTTCCTTTTGAACTGCTTCACTAATGGATGACAACATGATGCTGAAGTTGTGTTTACAGTGTTCTAAGTTCTTTCTGAACTATTTTTTTCCTATTAATGCTTTGTTTGGAATTATATAACCTTAGTAGTGTTCAAAGTTGATATGGAAGCAAATCCCTTTTGTTTCCTTTGCCACATGGCTAAATGGTGAGAAGGCAGAACATGGCTCTTATTCTAGAGATCTGGTGCTGAGTTGTTTCCTTGCTTTTATTCCATAGGGTTCACTGGTTACTTGTGAATTTTTGCTGCAGAATGGGGCCAATGTGAACATCAGGGACATGAAGGGAAGAGGGCCCCTGCACCATGCCACAGTTCTAGGACACACTGGGTAACTTGCTGCTCCTCAATTTGTAAACGGCCCTCCTTTACTGTAGTTGTTCATGTGAAGCTTCTTCACTGCCCCAGATATTCTGGCATTTTAATACTATTTCAGGTGATACAGGTTTTTTTTAAACTCTGGCTGTGAGAAAGAAAATAATATTTTGATTTAGCAGTCTCATCCACTAGCAAAACACACATGTGTTTGCTAATGTGGATTAAATAAAGGTTTTACTTCCTACTGTGGTAACATGTTCTAGATGAACAGCACTATTTTGACATATTTGAGAGACTTTCTGTGATTTAAGCCAAATACATTGTATCCAGCCTGAATTTATTTGCCTTTTTTCCTTTATTATTGTCAAAAATATTCTTAAATGCTTTTTCCAAACAGACAAGTGTGTTTATTCCTAAAACGAGGAGCAAACCAGCATGCCACTGATGAAGATGGGAAAGACCCACTGAGTATAGCAGTAGAAGCTGCAAATGCAGATATTGTAACATTGTAAGTTGTACGTTCTGTTTTTTGACTAGATAACTTAAGTTTTGCTATTCTGTTTCAAGTTAAAAATAAAAGAAATGTCAAAATTCCTTTACATAAAAACAGGGAGAATGAGCTAAAATCAGAATTCATTATCCATAGATGACCTCATTGATGTGATGTTCAGGAATGCATTGTAGGTCTTGCATTGTAGTCTTTTTTTGTGCTTTGAAGATGACATTGTTCTTTTTGTTTTCTAAATCCCAGGTTGCGTTTAGCAAGGATGAATGAAGAAATGCGGGAATCAGAAGGACTCTATGGGCAGCCAGGTCAATACTCTACTAATAACCACACTGAAATGCAGTACAGGAAGTGTATACAGGAATTTATCAGTTTACAATTAGATTCTTAGTGTCTGAGGGAAATCCAAGATAGCTTCATACATTTAATGTTTTTTTATAAACCAACACATGTTAAAACTTCATTGAAATTCACTGGCGTGACTTTGTAAGAGTATTTAGAGGAACTAAAAGGAGAGTTTAAATAGCATCTTTATAGTAGTGTGTTACTACAGCCATTACCACTCTGTTTTGCTGGTAGTTGTCCACACAGTTTTCTTCCAATTGTTGTTCCTTTGAAATTTGTATAATGTTAGGATATATCTGACATTATTTAACAGTGGCTTTCTGACCCATCTTGCTCAGAGGAGTTGAGGAGTTCATCTTATTACAGGATACCATTCTCCTTCCTGTGGAATGGTCTTCTTTTTCTTTTTGTAAGAAAAAAATGCTTGCACACCAATGTAAAAAGTGTACATCAAATATTTCAAAATAACTCCAGACAGAAATAGGAAAGTATTATTTCCTCAAATTTTATTTTTAAATATTTTTATTTGTTAAGATACTAATAAGAAACAAAGCGGTCATTCTTGAGTATGTATTTTTGTATGCTTAGTATCTTTCTGTTTGGTTAAAAAACTGGCAGACGTTTGAGCCAACTGCAACAGGAAAGTATCAAATTATATTTAATGAATATGTGCAACTTTATTCTCAGGCACTCAGTCCCAATTTACACCATGTCCTAATGTGATATTTGTGCAAGCCATTTCCTCTGTTATGGTATGCTTCCACAGGAACCTAATTTAATGTCATGCAAATACCAGTAATGAAGGCACACTTGATTGTGAAGTTAGACAATTAAAGCACCTCGCTATACCTGGCAGAAGTGAAAGGCAAACCTTACTTTTAAGGTTAAGTGCTGAGTACTCTTGGCTCACTCCTATAAAGCCCTTCTGTATTTTCCACTGATTCAAAAGGATTGTGTGCTTATATTTCTTACCAGATTAAGACTGGAATATAGTCAAGGGGCAACACTGAGTCTAATGTCAAAATCCTAGATGAAATCTATTAAATAGATCAATTTTATTTGGTTTCTCCTTAAGAATAGGGGTTTTTTTAAATCTGTTTTTGAACAAATCTTCAAGGAAATTCAAATTAAACAATAAAAGTAAAAAAACACTCAGGAATTCAAATGCTTTCCTTGACAGTGAAACAGTTAATTTACAAGTATTTCTCTGATTATGAGCTCAAAAGAGGAAGAATTCCCCTCTCAGAAAATGAGGAAGGCTGTTGCCAGTGTGGCATTTAAAGATGTTTTCTGATACAGTGCATACTACTTCACTGACAGGCTAAAGGTAGCAAATGATGATGTATTTCTGAGTTTCCTCTGTTTTGTTTTAAGTGGTAAAAATAATAACTATCAGTTTCAAATAGTAAAATGGCTTTGTTTTAAGGGAGGTGTGTATTTTGGCTCAAAAGCTCTGTGCTAAATCATAAATGAATATTTTAGATCGTTTCATTGACCTATCACAAATCCAAAATTATTATAAACCAGAAAATATGTTTCCATGGTTTGTACAAAAATCCTTGGTTGTTTACTAAACCTTACAAATGTTTATGAATGCTTCATTCCTAACAAATACAGGCACTGCCTACATGAAAACGTGAAGTAGATGGGGGAGACTATTTTCCCCTGAAAATTCATTTTTATATATATATATATATATATATATATATATTTTAGACACATTCTTCAATTAGGTAGGTGAAATAAAAAGCTAGAAAAATATTTCATTGAAAATATTGTGACCTTTCTATCAGTCTGTAATACAGTAGAATCTAGAGACTGCAGTTGATACAATCTCATCCAGATACTTTGCAGCTGGTAAGGTGAGATTGACAACAGTGAGTTGCCACAGGAGGCAGAGCTTCCCCAAAATCAGGGGAAGGTGTCAGTAAAATAATTTTTGACATTAAGGCCAGAAGCTGTAGCACAGAGTCCCAACCAGGAGATCTTGCTGTATCTTTGGGTAGCACAGCACTGCCCCCTTCTATTCTTTACTTGCTGAAGCCTCTTTTGAAAGTTTAAAAGTCAATATTTGAGTGTTTTGAATGTTCATGTCTGCTGGAAGGGTTGTGTCAGAGTAAGCACAAAACCTGTCTCTGCTGTCACAAGGTATCACACCTTCTCGTGGTTGTAGGAGATGCAGGTCTTTTTCACTGCATATACAAGTTAAATTATTTGCACTGCCCTTATTTTAGAGCTCCAGTGTTCCAAAATTATGATTCTAGAAGAAAATAAGGATTTTCAAGACAATTGTATTTTTGCTGGGAGCTATGTGAGGGTAAATATTGATGTATGAGTTTGCTGTCATCAGAGTGAAGCCAACTACCAACTCCTCAGCTCTAGTAATGCAGCTGACGAACAATTGCTAATGTAGCTAATGGCATCAACATTTCTAATGTAAATCTATCTGGCTGGTTTGAGCTACTGAGAGAATGTATATATTGCTTTGCAAGGTACAGTTGGTCTTCCAAAATATTCCTAGAATGGGAACTAGCTGAAAGCAGCTTGTTCCACAAAAAGGTTCATTTCTGGTGGTAGAAGCCATATGCACCATAGTACTGTTTCTTGTATAACACTTGAGTGCTCATCTCCTGGTGCTACAGTATGTCTGCCAACTCTTTGGTACTAGCATTGCTACTTTTTCTTCCTACCTTTTCTTGAATGTATGATGTGTGCCTTTTGAGTTACTCTGGTGTTAAATGGTAAAGCAGTGTTACAGTATTTTTGTACATAGTATCTGCACTTTAGGGAAAACATTGCTTGGAATTTCCAGAATTCAGTTTTAAAGTAGAATTTTAAAATAATTATAATGTTTACAGTATTAAGTACTTTAATGCAGCATACAAACTAAAGGGGCACTTTATTTTAGTCTATTTTTGTATGTAATATTTTTGTTATGTAATAGAGCCAAAAACAGAGCCACAATGTATCTTGCAAAAATAGCTTTCCGTTTTTCTTTCAAGTTAATTTGAAAGAAACAAGTATGGCAACTTGAACTACAGTATTAGTTCAGCAGTGAAACCCACTTCTGTATTAAAAGCGTAATAGCTTTTATCACACAAGCTTGATTCTGCCTTGTGCCCTTCATAGCTGTTCTTTTGGTGAATGTTGCAGCTCCATTCTGTGCTGATCTCCCAGTGCAGGCAGTTATCACAAACTGTTACAATAAAATGTGTCCTGTGCCTGCTTCATCTCTATAACACAGAATCTCAGAATGGTTTGGGACCTTAAAGATCATCTAGTTCCAACCCCTCTGCCATGGGCAGGGACACCATACTTGAAATTAAATCTGAAAACCAAAAGGGAATTTCCCTAGAACTGACTTTTCCTAGTAGAGCAGTATTGAATGTATTCATCTTTCAAAGTCTGGGAAGAATTATGTCACTGCATCTTTGTATAAACCCACATGCCATGCACATTAAATATTTCTGGAAGGTCAGTTATCATTTGTAAAAGTGTTTTCAAAAGAATGGAGTCTCATCTCCTAAAGAATAATAGTTCTAACATTGGAAATAGAAATTAAGATATGGAAAAACAAAACAATGTAACTGTTCACAGTAGTGCAAATGTCTAAGCACAAAAACATTCTTTTTTTCCACAATCATGTTGGAAAAAAAAGCTTCATGTTCAACATACATGATGAGAGGGATTTTGGGTTGATTTCTTTGTCATGCTATTAATCAAGCTGTCAGCAAGAAACAGTAGTGCTGGGACCTTGTGCACTGTGTGATCATCTGTGTGGGGAAGACAGTAAAATTTGGATGGCTGCATAACTCCAGACCAAATGAAATGTGTGATGCATTTAATTCCCTTTGAAGGCAATAGGGTATGGTTAATGTTTTAAAATGAAACCTGAACTTAAGGCCCAAAATGCTGCAACAGATGAAGGAATGTGAAAATGTCCATTTTAAAGTGGCAAAAGAATAACTTGGCAATGACTCAAGAAGTAATCATTCCTCAATATGTCTTCCTGTGTGGAGGGGGAGGAACACAGGCCTGGTGGAAATTGCTGCCATCCCTCATTTTGGAATATATACTATTGGGTTGCATTTAAGCACAAAGAGTGAAGATTAAAAAAAAAAAAACAACCAAAAAAAACCAAAAGAAATATTTTTAAGGGAAATATCATCACTCTTATAGATAAAACTGAAAAATGTAATGAAAGATGTAGATGAAGCGAATGTAAAAATTTATATTTGCTGAAGTAGTAGACCAAAAGAATTTATGACCCATGATTTATCTACTTAGGATTGCTTTTTTTTTTATATATACTGTTACTTGCTGATTGTTTCTTTCATGGAAAGTTCTGTTTGGCTGTAAGAATTCTGACCTCTGTTTCCAAGTTAATCTTTATTTATGCCATAATTCTATTTTTCCGAAGATGATCTTGGTTAGCACTACCTTGCAAAAACAAAGATTTTATTCTTTAATGGCTAATAAATATTTTTCTTTTTAAGTTGCTTTAAAATGCTTTCACTTTTCCTTTCTAACTCTAAACTTTCCTCTGTGTGGCTGCCTGTGAGGTACTATTTCAGGTATAGTTTGGCTTTGTTTAATTTGCTTCTACAGACCATGCATGCAAGTAACCAGTCTCCAACAGTTCACATCAGTGTCATTCCATCTATAAGCAAACTTTTTACATGAATAAGTGTTACACAGTAGTTGATTGCACAGTAGAGCATTTGTGCAGTGGTGGGTGATGTTGACTATCACAAATGTTTAATACTGTTTCCCTTTTCTTTTCTATCTAGGAGATGAACTTTATCAGGACATTTTTCGTGACTTTTCTCAAATGGCAACAAATAATCCAGAGAAGTTAAACCGCTTCCAGCAGTCAGATTCCCAGAAGTCTTAAGTGTCAAGAAGGAAAAGAACCTGATGCCCATAGTACCAGTCTTTTTTTTTACTTTGACAGAATGAATTATATGCATTTTGTTAGATAGATCGGATAAAATGACCACTCCAATGTAGCTTTAGATTGTGGTAGCTGGGGAAATGTATGAGTTGTTTTATGTTCTACAGTACGTATACCTCAGCAGCTGAAATAATGTTTAAAACCCTGAATACCTGCTAGCTCAGTATAAAAATAGCACCAGCTGTGAGTACGAGGTTTGTCTGCGGCTCGTACGCCGAGCACAGCTGGGTGTGTGGCACAGACTCCCAATGGCAGGATGGGCAGAGCAGCTCTGCTATCCAGGATCATCCACTGTCATCTGTCTCCCTGTTGCCGTAAAGAATGTGCCTCTGACAAGAAGGTCTGGGTTGCATTTTCTGGGACTGTTTGGAAGGGAAATCAGATAATGACATACTGAGTTGTCCTTCTGTTTGTGGGGCTGTAACTTAACAGATCCTCTTGTGCCTGTGCTGACTCTGGTTAGAGGTAGGCTGTTAGTAACAGACACAGTAACTCCTGCTCTTGCAAGCTCTTTCACAGTGGAAGCTCTAACACCAGGCTGGCCTTTATGCTGGTGACTGCAGGTCAGTCACAAAGGGATATATCCTGGGGGACCAAACTCTTAAGAGCACTCTATTTTCTTTTTTTTCCCCCCTCTTATATTAAATTTTCAATGCAGCAAGTATCCTTCTAAATGAGCATGTGGAACCTTTCATAAAAAATAAACTGAATCCTTCTGGACATGATGTGGGGTTTTTTTGTAGTATTTTGACATCAAAACTTGAAATTTGAGAAGTGAAAATAAATACTGAGCCAATGGAGCTTGTGTAGAACAGTTGTGCACAGGCTGTTTTTTACTTTTTCTTGTTCTCACTGCTAGCCCTAAGATGAATATATGAAGTCTCATATGTCATGCAGCCACCCTAAATTTAGGACAATCAATCCTTTATTGATCCAATCAGGCAGCAGTATCCCATATATGATCTGCAGTGATGTGTATGTGTTGTCTAAACTAAGGTGAGCATGAGAAAACCTAGGAATTTCACTCCACATTTTTGGCAAGTATTGGGTGAGCACAGCTCCAGCTATTTTCTGAGGGCAGCAGCACAATTTGCTTTATTCAGTAGTGAGCCCCACTCTGATGGTGTGCATGTATAAATGGTGTCTCTAGATATATGCTTATGTATCAGGTTATTTAATACCTAGATAGGAATCACCTGAAGCCTCAAACCAGCAGATGCAATTCTTTATGCTCTATTTGTCTGCCCTATGGACAACTTTAGCAGAAATTTTAGGTAGCATAGTATCAATGTCAGTTTTTAATAATCCTAGTAGCTGTGGCATTATGCTAACCTGCTGTTTAAATGTATTTAGGAAATGAATTGGCTTTTCTCCAAGCAAAGATAAGCAAAATTGGATTAAAAAAAATTAAATCTGTAAACTATGGTAAATTTAAACTTTCTGGCACGTTAAATTTTAACAAAGTATTTCAAACATTTATAATTTTGCATCAAATATATAATAATGTATCAAATCTGGATATTATTATTGCCACAAAATTAGTAGTGTTGTAGAATTGTCCACTAGATTCTTTTTCCAAGCAGAAGAATCTTACAAGTTCTTACAGTTCTTGCTTTGTGTGTGGTCTAATTATGCTAGGAAAAGCAGACTGTGCCCATTTAAAGGGTGCATTTAGTCTGAATAATAAGAAAGTTAAAGATATCACCTGTAAGCAGTAATTTTTAGTAAGTTGTTTTTAAATATTTGTCTATGAATGATAATATACTTCCTAATCATCAGTATTTAACAGCAGTGGGTGTTTTAGTAGATCTTAGAGAAGGTAAGATTCCCAATGTACAGATGGGACAATGTAAGATATGACTGTATAATACACACTTTAGACATAGGTTTTTCTAAATATTTGTCTTTTGCAGCCAGGTGACAGGCAGTATGTAGTGTGATTGGCTGTAATCTAAAGCTGCCTAAAGCTTGATGGCATAATTTCTGTCTCAGTCCATGCTGCTGGAAAAAGGTCTGAGACACTTATTTCAAATCTCCATTGGTGATTTCCTTCCTAGCCACAAAAATCTCTCTAAAAAATTTTGGAGGATGACTTCTCTAGACAAAAACCTTGCTTCCCTGTAGCTCTGCAGATGCATACGCTGCATTCCTGACTCCCATCTGTCTGGGAAACAGTAGCAGTGTGTCTGTGCTAAGGGTCTAATCACATACCTGACTGACAGGTTGTGTGACTCTTGTCAGCAGCAGTGTTGGAGTGTCAGTGGCTCAGGGAGTAGCTGTGTCACTGCTCATCCTGCAGCCTCATTCCCCAGTCCTTTCAGGTACACCAGGATGTCCAGTATAAACTGCAGTCAGTTAGAGCTTTTTGCAGGTCAGGTGCAATACATGTGGTAACATGTTGCTCATCAGCAAAAATGAATACATACCATTAAATTACATGGAATGTATTGATGGTGCAGTCCCACCAGGCTCTGGCAGGCTCAGTGCTCTGTGGCCTCAGTGGCTCACAGCATTCAGCCCTCAGTAATAATGTATGATTGTCACCAGGGCTCTGAAGGTCCGGATTCCATATCAAGTTTTGACTCAAGTGCTAATCTTCTGCTCAGTAATATTATGAAATTTTTATCACAAAATGAATCTGAGTACAAGTAGAATAGTAAACAGTAAGGTTCCATTGTGGGTTAACATCCTGTAGTCTGTACCAGGCAATGGAAAGCTTCAATTCCAGTTCATGTTTCCACGTAGGTATGAAATATAGTAGGCTTTAATTGGAGAGGGACAAAGCAGTAGATTCCTAATGCATTTAAAAGGCAGCTTTCACATGGATTTTTAGTAATTTAATAGATGGCCCATTGAAAGATAGTGTAATAGTTTTCCTATTTATAGACACACGTTCCAAGAGTCTCTTGGAAAGACAAATGTTGAGGAGCTCAACATATATTCTAATGCAGCTTGATTTCAGAGGTGTAACTTACGTCCATTGCATGTTGGTTTAAATAGTGTCTATGGTGTGTCCTTAGTGTCTCAATTGTTTTGACTGTTCATAAGGTTTCATGTTTTATGTTAATGTCAGTTCAGTGCATAAAAACTTATAATTCAGTATGATAATTCAGAAATTTGTCACTGAGTTATGTTAGCTGGAATTTGTTCCCATGAATTTGGGTGAAGGTAGAGGTGTTTCTTTGCCTTCACAAGCAGCCCATGTTGCAGTCTGATGAACACATGTTCCAGGTGCTCATTAGCACCTAGCTGGCTTCAGACTCCTTGCCAATTAGGACCTAATCCAGGAAATCGCTGGAATTAGTGGCGGTCTTTCCACTGATTTTGAGGGGCTCTGGATTGTACCATTTGTGACTTCTAATTGTTAGTGTTTTAAAGGATGCTGTATTAATACTGCATTTTTCACTCCATGGGGTTTTATATTTCACCTGTTTGTATACTGAGCTGAAATAGTTTTAGAAAATGCAACCAGACCTTCCAACTGCTGTCAGCAAATCCCCGTATGAGAGGAAGTTTCTCCTGTTTTGCAGTATGACATCAGTACATATGTGTTGTCCAGATTCTTAGTTCTCCTGGATAGAGCAAAAGCTTTGTAGCACTAAAGAAAAAAAGGTGAGAACTAGAATAAGCAGAGCATTGATGTGATGTTTCCAGGACTTCAGTGCTTCTCTGTAGCCGCCTGTTTTAAAGTGTGGATGTTACCTCTGCTTCTTCATCATGAGAATCTCAAATGGCATAGTGACTATGAAAGGACCCTTTGATAGAACTGCAAATCATGTGTAAGTACCAAGGATGTGATATTTTTACAGTGTCAAAAGGACTGAGCTGATCATTCTGATTCTTTAATACACAAAGTATTTTGAGAATCAGTTTTGCAGACTACGACCTCAGCCCATTCACCATGGACACTTTTTCCCAAGTTAGAGTTTATGCCACTGCTTTGTGCATCCTGACAGCCGACGTGCCTTGCTGTTGTGCTTGCACGGAGGCACAGTTTTAAAACAGGGACAACTCTGGAAAGGCAGTACTGGGGAAAAGCATGAGTGTACCACTTTGGTATATTCCCTTTCATATGCTTGCTTTGTCTTTCTGCATACGGTATTTTCTTGTTTCTCTTCCCATGGAAGGAGATGACAGAGAAGGAAAAATTCCACTCACTTTTCTGTTAGGATCCCAGATTTTCCATGTTTCGACAGAAATCGCCAAGAAATCATCATTTCCTCAAGCAGAGAGGTTACTCCGTCTGAAATAATGAACTTTTATTTCTCTATCCACGCGTTCCTCTGTACTTGGTGGTTTTTTTAAGCATTCCAGCAGTAAAATGTAAAAAAAAAAAAACCTTCCCCTTTTAAGCTGTAACTGTACAGACTGTGTACTCCGCGTTGTGTATGGCTGTAGACTTTGTATCGCAAACTCGAGCGTGGTTTGTCATTGTAAAGGGGCGGCCTCATTAAAGCTGTCACTGCCCAGCGCCTCGCTCGGGGCGGGCCGGGGGCGGGTCCCGGGGCGGCGCCGCCCCCGCGATGGCGGCTCAGCGGGGCCCGGCGCGGCGGGGCTGGGCGCGGTGCCCGCAGCCCGCGGCCCTGGCGGCGGCCGCGGCCGTGGCCGTCTGCGCCTTCTACTACCTGGGCGGCGGCGGCGAGACCTTCTCCAGCGCCACCCGCCGCCTGCGGGCCACGCCGTCCGCGCCCGCCCGCGCCGGGGCCCGCGGGCTGCACCTCCTGCTCATGTTCACCAAGGCTGAGCGCGGCCCCGCGCTCCGGGACAAGGCGCAGGCGGCGCTGCGATCGCTGCTGCGGCACGGCCGGCTGGGCCCCGCCGACACGCTGCACCTCCACCTCGTCACCGACGGCGCCAGCCGGGACATCGGCCTGGGGCTGCTGCGGGACCTGCTGCGCGGAGCCGCCTTCCGCCACCAGGTGCGCGGGGGCTGAGCGGGGCGGGCCGGGGGCGAGCGGGGCTCTGCCCGCTGCGGGGGGCGCTCCGGGGGCGCGCTCGGGTGCCCCGTATGATCTTTGTGATCTTCCTGCGCTACACTGGGAACAGCAGTCCAGCGGGAAGAAACTCCTGGTTCAGTCCTGGTTCAGCATTTCAACACAAGTACCACGTGTGCTCCTAAGTCAGTGGCTTCCTGAGCGTCCTGCGGGATCGGAAGAGGCTGTTGGCCTGTTGCTGGTGGCTCTTGAGAACGGGAATGGAGAGCCTGCAGGGTAGGAGTGCATCCACACGAGAATGTTCCCAAAAACATAGCCAGTGCAGTCCATGCGAAGTCAGACTTTCCTTCGCATCAAACAGGTATCTGAAAACTGTAAGGGTGTTAAGTTCAGAGACTCCAGGTAACTTGACCCCCCTGTCCTGAGGTGCTGCTGCTGAGAGGACTGCTTGGAAGTGTTCTCTAGTCCTGCTGTGACTTTTTATAACTCGTCTCTCTGTTATTTAGTATTAGGTGAACTGTGCTGTGATGTAAGCAGACACATAACCTTAATGTTGTTCAGATATTTCCTAGTAAATAATCCCACCTCTTGTTTTGTTTAAACAAGCCCTTTTCTAGTGCTGACTCAGGTTGCATACCATGGTGGGTGACCCACCCTATGCCGGCAGTGCTCAGCTCTGTGGAGGGGGTGCACAGGAGGATTCCCGTGTGCCACAGCAGGATGGACTTACTGCCCCACGATGGTGCAGTGCTGATGTGGTGCAACAGCCCAGCTCAGGTTTGTGATATTATGGCCCCTGGACTGGGAGGACCCCTGGGGCCACCATGGTGTGCATCACCCTTGCCGTCACCCCTTCTGTGTGTGTGGCTGCCTTATGCCATCTGCCCTTCTAGGAGATAAACTTCTCTGTGGGCAGCCTTGCTGGTCTTGCTTCTCCAGGGCAACACGGGCTGGGAGTTGGAGGTGAGGGTATGCAGTGATGTATCTGTTACGGAGGGGCCTCTGTACGTGCCTGTGGACTTGCAGGCAACACTGGCTCATGGCTCAGTGAGTAGATGTACTCAGTCAGCTTCTTCCCTCTCTCCTGGCAGAGCCTGATGTATCCTGGTTTCCATTGGCCAGCCAGTGACAGTACACTTTGGATCTGTCCACTTCTTTGCTTTTAGGTGGAGTTCCCAGTACAGAGCAGAGACTGTTCCTGCTTCTAAAGCATACAGCCTTGCCCCTAATCCCTGTGCCAGTTTCTGGAATGCCAGCAGGTGACAGCACTGCTTTAATCTTGCTGTAGCCTACTTCATTCCTCCTCTTTACCAGCAGAAAACATCTTCCTGGCTTGGACCTTTGGTGCTGCTGCTAAAATGTTGAAGGTGATTGATCCTGACACTCAGCCCCAGCAGTAAACCATCTCCATCCCTGCTTCCCCTGTTATCTCCAGAACATTCTCCTGGTTCTTACGCTGTTTTCCTAGATCAGGCCCAGAGATGAGGCTTGATAATGTGCTCAGGGGACAGCTGGAACTGCTGAGGCAGGACTGATAAAACCTCTGAACTTTACTTTTATTCTTCATGAGGAAGCGATTCGTGCCCTGCTTTTGGGGCTTCCCCTGCCCTCCCATTCTAGTGGAGCTGGGATCAGTTGGCTCCTCTGTTAGACTGAAGCCCAGAGTCAGACGTGGATCCCAACCCACGGGGAAGGTTCCTAACCCGTGGGGAAGGTTGTGGGCAGCTCTTGTCTCTCCCTAGGCAGATTCAGGAACTTCCAGAGTCTCCCGGAGACCGAAGCAGCCGGCAGCAGTCTGGGATCAGCGTGGAGGGTGATGGCGATGGGAGCAGCTCAGAGATAGGATCCTCCCGGCAGAGCAGGGCTGTCCGGGCGTGGGCGGGCGTGACGTTGTGTCACCCATCCCGCAGGGATGTACAGATGTGTCCCAGATGTGGCGCCGGGAGCGCAGCCGTGCGGCGGCGGCAGAGGGAGCCCGAGCTCCGCGTGTGCGGCTGCGGGGCGGAGGGGAAGGGCCGGGAAGCGCCTGTGCCTCGGCCTCCCGGCCCCCGCTTGCCGAGGCTCTGTGGGTTTTTACCAGGGCTTTATGTCCGCAGTCCCAGAGAGCGTGGCCCGCCCGCGGGTCGCGGGGTGATCTCCGCAGCTTCTCCTGCTTCCCGGCCAGCGGGAAGTGCCCGGCAGTGTTCCCGGGCCAGCCTCGGCGGTGGGCACTGTGCTTACAGAGAGCCCTGGCTCGCCTCGTGTTCTGCCACTCCGGCCTGTGTGCTCACACTCCTTGTGCGGTTCCTATCGCTTATTGATTCCATTTCCCTGCCAAAGTAACGCGAACCGCGTGCTCGGCTCGCTGCTCGTCCCAGTCCCTGTTCAGATCCTGCTGGGAGTGAATGTAACTCGACTGCCATCACTCCGTGTTTGTGGAGAGCTATGAGAATACCTGACATGGGAAGGAGGGAAAGTTAAAAGGAAAAGAAATGAGGTTTGTTTTTTTCCTAGTGAATCAGTAGAAAGGGTCTTTTATCAGTGCGGGACGTGTGTTTATAAAATTGTGCTTGCACAGGAAACCCCTAGAACTTTTCTTAGTGTCCTCAGCAAACATGGCCAGATTTAGCTACAGGGATTTACTAAAAGCTGTTACCCAAATAAATAACAAAGTACAAAATTAGCAGCAGATCAACTAGCTGTGCTAAAGTGAGCGGTGAGGAGAGGAGAAGCCCTCGTGGCCCGAGAGAGGCTGCCTGACCTGTGGCTGCGGGAGGACAATTCAGCTGCTTTGAGGAGTTTGCTTTGCAGAAGTACCTAACCAGAGAGTGGGCAAAAGACAGGTTTTCCTGTTGTCTTTGGCAGGGGAGGGAAGGCAGATGATGCTGTGTCTGGAGTTTCAGGAGTATTTCTCCCGTAATTTTTGTACAGTGATGCTTGGCACTCTGCTTTCTTTGGAGGTGACTGGAATTGGTTTGGCTTTCCCTCCCCCCACCTTTCCTACATGCTGTACAGACTTAAGGCTGCCTTTGCTGGATGCAGAAGGGTGGTTACAGGTGCTGTATTTTTCCTTCATGCTTCTCCAATCCAGCCAGACCCTGAAGCTGCCCCACTCAAGCTGGGCTGGGAGCAGAGCATTGCACATCCCCACGGTGGGGTGGTGCTGGTGGTGCTCTGCTCCATGCACAGACTGTCGGTGCCTTTGCACATGAAGAGTAATGGTGGTTTGCTTGTTTGGTCACCTGGGATGGCTGCTGGTAGCAGCACTTGGTGCTGCTGTTCTGCTCCCCACAGCTGTGCCACTCTCCGACCGGCGCTCACCGCGATGGCACAGCCGGCAGGGCTGGGCGAGGTGCTGTGTAATGTTACCGGGAACAGAGCTTCCTCCACTGCAGCGTCATGGGGAATATGCTGTGCTATCCAAAGCCAAGTGTGGCTGCTGGTGAGCTCTCCCAATGCACTTTTCCTGGTACACGTTGTTCTGTGTTTTTCCTGCCGTTCTGCTGCAGGCGCTTGGCCCTGGGCCCGGAGCGGGGCCGCCCCGCTGAGAGACACGCTGGCCACAGAGCCTGTGTGAGGGCTCTCTTGCTGATGGCAAGGGCCAGTGGCCAAGGGTGGGTGTTTAGGGTGCCCTTCCCAGGGCTGGGGAGTCAGCTGTGCCTGTCCTCCAGCAGGACCCTGCTGTGGGCTCAGCCATCATGGCCAGTGCCAGGATGGCCCCATCACCTTGTTCACTGTACTGCGGGTCCCACGAGCAGCACCCCAGCGAGCTCTGCTCTGCTCTGCTGTGAGAGCACTTTGGGGTAACGTGTTCTGCAAGAAGCTGTGGAAGGAGGAAGCTCCACATTGCTCGCTGCTTTCGTGCCAGCCTCACTGGGCATCAAAGCAACCCCTTGTGAACCCCATAGAGGGGATGGTCATTGCA